ACATCACAACTTTATTTTTATGCATATTCGTTACAGTTTATAGTTCTTCTTTGTATCTCAAAATTGGTCTTTTTATGATGCGTCGTCATCGATATTTTGTTCTCTTTTTTATGTTATGGTTACTTGGAAAGTAAGATCTCATAGATCTTTGCCAATTATTGATGAATCTCTTAAACGAGGTTTATAGTTTGATCGAATACATGTTTTGCTTTTTGTAGTTGTTTGTTTTTATATGCGTGACTATTATTATGTCTTTTATAGGAACTTTTTTTCGTGATCAGGTACATGCATAAACGATTTGGATTGTGGAATTGCAAACGAAGCTCGAATCAGACTGAGGTATCTCTCTAATTCTGTTTGATATATGCATATCATAAATAATATATTGGTTTCTTCTTCTATTTCACGATCTTATAGATGCGCTAATCAAAGGCTTTATCGTGCGGATGAACCTATTTTGGTATGATCTATATTTATTTACGTGTTGTTTTCTATTGTTTTTAAATATATTTTCTTAGTACATAAAATCTTAAATCTGTTCCGAATGATATATCCAATATTGTGGAGTCTATGAAGATCATGCGCCATCCGAAACATGGTCCGGTTCGTACGAGAGAACATGCACGAGTCATGATGGATTCGAAAACACGTTTTTGGAGTTATAATTACCATTATCGTATGATCAATATCTCGATTTAAGTTTAAATGTTGGTGATGTTATCCTTCTTCTTATAATATAATTATATTAATGAATGTAATGTTTGGATTATATTGAATTTATTATATTTATCGAATATCACACACGTTGATATAATTGAAGTTAATTGGCAATATCTTAAGAATAATATTCATTGTCAAAAAAAAATTATATCTTGAGAATACTATACTTTATGGAAAATTTTGAGAATGCTATTACTCGGAATGATTAATCACTGGTACTATGATATTTATGTATACAATTTTAAAACCATGACTATTCTTATTGATATAATTCGTAGATTATACCGACTCTAAATGATAATAAACATATCTTACAAGTATGTTAGTTGATTGGGACTATCTATATCTTTTAAGTATCTTATTCATATAGAGTTATCTAATGACCGGTTATAAGAGGAGTAATTCACGAAGATTATTAAACAAATGACGCATTTATTGATAAATTATTACACCCACGAAGCTGATATACTAATAACAATTCGAAATACATATATAAATAATAAGTTATCTAATTCTGAAAAGTATTTATACCTTTGATATATAATTTGTATTACGTATCTTTATCTCAATTCTATATATTTACATCTCCTTAGCAGTTATATATGGGATACTGCCTAACTCAAAGGGATATGCTAATTTGGTTATTAGTTTGATATTATCCGCCATATAGTTTCTTTTTACAAAAATCAATTATTAGTTATAATTATCGAATTATCGAATTCGTTGGTATATTTAAATTATTGTTTAACAATTCTCTATATATTCTTTTTTTAAAAAAGAGATAGAGTCAAATATTTACATTCTGATTTGGATCATTTCTACAATTTTTGTATTATTATTATATTTTTTTTTGGCATTATCCTATATATTGGGAAAAAAATAGAATAAAGAGAAATAGAATATTTCTTTTTATACTTTATTTAAAATATCTATGTGGATTAATCTTAATATTGATATATACAAATATTGGATACTCTTAAGCAAGATTCTGTTTAATCTTTCAAATAAAATAAGATAGAGCTATATATTTATATTTTTTATTTTACTTTTTCTACAACTTTCGTAATATTATTATACAGTTTTTGGCTATTTTTTATATATCAGTATAAAAACAATATACAGTTTCTATTTAGGATATTTAGAAAATTATATGACTCGATGTATATATTGCTATTGAAATTTTTTAAAAAATTTAATTTTTGTATAAATTCTTCTTACTCTTTTATTGTTTTTAGGGTTTTTTCTGTATGCTAAGAAAAGGAGTAATAGGATATTTTTTTAAAAAAAAATTACTGAAAAATTGAAGTAGAATAATCTCAATACCATTGATAAATACAAATATTGGAGATTCGTAATATTGTTTTTCCGTTTCAGTTGTTTGTCTGTGTATTAAGATAATTTAAAATGATATTTTTCTATAAAGATATGTTTTAATTTAGTTATATATATATATATATATATATATATATATATTGATTTTATTCATACACAGCCGGTATTACCGACTTGGTACAATTGAGTTTTAGTTGACGGTGTAAGATCTCTTATTCGAGGAACGATTAAAAATATCTCTTGAGATTCATATTGCTCTTAACAACTTAATAAGTGCTGATCTCTCTTAAATTTTTTGATTAGTGTGTGAAACGATGAGATACAAGATGTTTGACGACGTGTCACGGTTGGATTCTACAAAGGATGGTTGGGTTATCCGAGTTAAGGTTTTGTGTCTATGGCAACAAAACTTACGTAGTTTTAGTACGAGTTTAGAAGTAATCCTATCTGATAGCAAGGTTTGTGATTTTATATGTTATTTGTATAACCTCGATTGTCATAAATATGAAGCTTATTGGATTTGGCTCCTTTTGTTTTTTTTTTTTTGAAGGGTTCGAAGGTGCAGTCTTCTTTTTAGAAGTTTTGTTTACCATCATTCTGGTTCTAAGATTACTCTTGGTGATTGGATTGATTTTAAAGATTTCAAAGTTTTGGAACTGTTTGGTTCGTGCAAAGCTACTGATCATCGATACAAAATAATTGTTTTGTATTCAACTAAAATTGTTATAATGGCTGTTGTGGGAGATGGAAATTACTTTGATTTCATAGATTTTAGCAAGATAATGGATGGTGTTCATTGTGATGATTACTTGGTTGGTAGGTTTTTCTGGCATTTGCTATTACCATATATCTTCGGGTTTTTTTTTTAATACATTTACGTTTATTCTTTAAAAAAAAAATATTCACGTAAACATTTTTAAATTTTTAGATGTTATTGGGAAAGTCGTTCATGTGGGGGAATTTGCAACTTAGGATGATTTGAATGTCTGCAAAAAAAGTAATGATGCGGACGAAGGTGATTCTCTACCAGAAGATTTCTATCTTCGAAGGTTGATTAAGATGTGTCTAAACCCCCCCCCCAAATCCCCCAAATATATTAACAAAGATGCAGGTGATGTGTTGTTAGATGGTTATAACAGTGATGATGTCGACGAGTTGATTGGTGACAGCAAAAGTGGCAAAGAATCGTGTGCTGATGACGTGGGGCGTGTAGAAGATGATCACGATTATCAGATTGATGAGGATGATGAAGCTAAGGACACGAATGACGACGACGAGTAGGTTGTGAGTATCGATGCTGATGTTTCTGAGCTAGAAGATGATGAATATGATTTTCTAGAAGAATGTGATGAATGTGACGATTGCGAGGACAATGACGATGAGGATGAAGAAAAAGATGAAGAACAAGATGAAGAACATGAGGATTTCTATGAAGTAGAAGACAAGGATTATGAGGATGGTGATAAAGATGATGAAGACGATGGTGATGAAGGATATAATGAGGTGACCGAGTCGGAGGAATAGAGTCTCGGCGATTGTGATTGTGAAGATGCCAAAGAACAAGACCCTGATAAAGTAGTGGAGTATTCTATGTACAATAAATCTTTTTGACTTTTGTGACTCCAGATATATTGTTTACTTTATAAATGAATATGGTAATATGTGTTCTATTTTAAAGTATTCACCGTATGTTTATGTTAATATGTTGTAGGAATAATATCTTGAGGTGTGAATAGGCCGGCTCTGTGGCAGTAAAGTTCTATAAGGCTTTCAAGGAGTGTCGAGACGATGTCATTATTTGCGTGATCCGATGGGATGTTGTAGACTTATTTCAAGGTACCTAGACGTTTGTTTCTTTAGATTAGCTTATATTTTACCATGTTTATCATCGCATTTTCCATGATTTTGATTTTTCAAATTATTTATTTGGTCTATTAGGTAAACGATCTATAATTACAACGGAATGCACTCAAATTGGTTTGAATCCATGCTTGCTACAATTTATTTTAGTTTAACTATTGCTTTTTCCAAATAGTTTTGAAATTGCATCTACCTTTTATTCGGATGGATTTGAAGAGGTTGTTGATGAGAACTAAATGATCTTAACCTAAGATAGATGTACAACTACTAAAAATCTCGACTTTTAAGTTTGTTATGTTTTTTCTTTTATTTTAGTGTGTTTTTCAAGAATTTGAATAACTTTAAGTTTGATATGTTTTTCTTATATGTGAGTTCTTTTATGATTTAGAATTAGAAATATTGAATAAGAAACAAACTCATTATATATATCACCAAATTGAAAAGAATAACATTCCAGAACGTGAAAAAAACTTGATTTATAAAAAGAAAAATTAATTAAAAAAATAGATATAACTTTTTTAGAGTTTCGATCGTAATATATCTGACATTGTATCCATAATTTATTCGATATTTGTTGTTCCATTCGATATTAGTATTTTACAATGTTCTTAGTTAATTGCATTAAGTTTATAGTAATTTTAAATTTATTAATTTTGTATTAACTTTTTATTATATAAAGATTTTTAAATGTATTTTTATAATATAATTTGGCCGCGTAAGGCGCGGGTAACTCAGCTAGTATATTCTTATACTAATTCCTCAGCTTGTTGAAAACCTTAGTAATGGCTTAATATAATTACCATTTAAACGATAGGAGAGAATAATTCCCAACTAATAACAAAATCCTCATTATCAAAATAGATATTCAATCTAGATAATCGGTTCGGTGTCGGTTTTTGTTTTGGTTCGATTCCGATTTTAATCAACCATATACATTGTATCCTTAACTTGTTATAAAAACTATTTTTATCGAGTTTTAATATACTTTTTTCCTGTTGGATTCGAATTCAGATTTTATTTTCTAAATCTATCTAAACTCTATTAAATTACGATTCAATAATTCAATTATTTCAGTTTGGTTCGGATCCAATCAAAAAACATCTTTAATTCGAACCACCATTAGTCAAAAACACGTTTACATATATAGAAACTGAACTACAATTTGCCTGACAAAGTAGAAGTGTAGGACAAAAGATATGCATTACAAAAAAACAGAAACGGAAAAAGGAAAAGTTTCTATTTTCAAGGTTCTTAAACACTAATCTGCTTGTTAAAGATCCAGCTAAAGCAAACCTCATGGGTCTTCTTAAGCTTCTTAGCTCTCTCGTCAACTCGCTCTTGAAGGCGTCTAATCCTCTGAGCTAACCCACACACAAACTCCTGTGCACGTTGACCCTCACCCGTCAATCCCTCTAGCTTCTCCAATCTCCACCGTCCAACCAAAAACTCCAAGATGTCAGCGTAATCATCCGCCGTGTAAACTCCTAGCCGTTGAGCCACGGCGGAGAAATGTTCGAAAAGCATCGGGTCTCGACCGTCTGTCATTAGATGAGCCGGCATTGTGATCTTCTTCCGCATCATGTCGGCGACGGCTGAGACTGCACCGTTAGGGTCGATCTCGAGGAGCTTTTCAACGATGCGTACGTAAGCGTTTTCATGGCGCTTCTCGTCAGCTGCAATGGTGCCGCAGATTCGAGCCAGGACGGGATCTCCGGCAGACTTGGCTAGCCGTGCGGTGTTGCCGTGAGACACGAAGGTGGCTCGCTCTTGGAATGACGTGTACACGAAACCTAAGTATGGATTGTTTTCCGTTCCTGGATCCTAAAAATTGCCAATATGAAAAGTTATGAATGGTATAAACCTAAGGGCAAACCTAATCCGAACCAACCAAAGATGATCCGGACCAACCAAACGTAAACTAAACGAAAATATTTAGATTGAAATATGTTTATTGATCAATTCGTTCTATTATTTAGAAACAGATTAACCCAGAGCTAACTTTATTGTAAGAACTGCCAAAAAATTCAAAATTTATTAAAATTTGATATATATTATTAAATAAGTTTCATCGAAAAAAGGAGATAATTATTAATATATTTTTTAAGGTGACTTTCCTTTTTTTTTAATCTTCCAAACTGAATTCCAACCAAAAACCAAATTAAATTGTATCGTACCAAATCAAAACAAACCAATTGGCAAATAGTTTTTGGTTATGTTTAGGTTTCCATATATAACCAAAAAAAAACCTTAAACCAAACCAAATCAAAATTCTTTTAAACTAAACTGAATTTTTTTTTTTTTTTTTTTTTCAGTTTCCATAAAACCAAAAACCGGAAAAAGGAACAAACCCAAAAACACATAACTATACCTTAAAAAAAATGATCTAATAAAATGAAAGAAATAGTATAAGCATTTTTTTCATCATAAAAATATAGAAAAAGAACTGACCATGCCCGAGCCGATGAGATACTGGACGGTACGTTCAACCATAAGCATATCTACCCGACCAGATAAGTACAAGTAAGTCCGCAACAAATCACCATGACGGTTCTCCTCAGCCGTCCACGCGCGTGTCCACATGGCCCACGCGCTCTCACTCGCGCCAGTCTCGTCCCTTACGCCGTCAAGCGTGTTGATCATCGTCTGGTAAGTAGGCAACGCGTCCTCCGTTATCATATCTCCAACCAACACCACGAAGTATTCGTCAGGCAATGAGGCCGTTCTTTCCCTCAGCTCACGCACCTATCATTATAAATCAACATTTTAACATTTATTCATTTATTGGTTAGTTTTGGTTAAGGTTGGTTTAATGTGCATATATATACATTTCTTGACAAAGTTATAAACTATGTAACGTATACTTCTTCATAAATAAGAGAATGACAAGATATATGATGTATATAACGAACCTGGTCGGTGAACTCGGAGAAGGGTAAGGCCGGGTCGGGTAAGAAAGAAGCGGGTTGCCAACATTGGTCAACCGGTTTGAGAAGAGGCAAGATTTGATCCTTGGCCCATCCATCTAAAGATTTGAAAATCTCCATTTTCTCCGGTGGCATGGTGTGGATTTTGTTTTGGTGTCTTAGAGCCGGCCTCACTGGTGCTGCCACGGCCGAGATCTTGGCCGGTCGATGGAGGCGAGAGGCGAGAAAGGTTGACGGAGATGGCATTAGTGTAGGCCATTGGGTGGTGTGGGAGAAGAGAGACTTGTGCGTAAGCATTTTGGATGGTGGAAGAGAGAAGACTTAGACTTACTTTGGAGTACTTCTTTGAAATTGACGACTACTATAGAGTGTCGACTAAATAGTCAAAGAGTGATGAGGGTATAATAGTAATTTGGTGGTTGGCTGGACTATTGGCTGGTGTTTGTTAAACAAACCGTGGGGTGAAACAAGGGGTGCTAACTGGTTTGAGATTCTGTGGGTTTTGTTTAAATAGTTTAATTATCCCATTTAAGTCTAAACATGAGAGTAATAATTTATTTTTTGTTTTTTTTTACTTCTCCATATTTTCGTTTGAACTTTGACTTTAATGTATTATATTTGTAATTTATATTTGTAATTTTTCTATTTCTTCATGAAAATTTTAAGCTCTTTGTGATCTTGTTGTTCTATTGTCGTATATACATTCTCCTTAATATCTTTAATGGAATATTAGAGCAACCACATTGATTAGTTTCTAAGTAAGGTTTCTATGTATTTTTTATTAATAAATTTTGTTAGTTTTGTAGTTTAGAGATTTTGAAAATTTTATGGTCCATTGGTGGAATCCTTAAGTGGGTTTCTAAAAAATAAAAAAAATGCTAATATTTTTATTTGAGCAAACATGATTATTATTAGGAATTATAAAATTTTAAACATACATGATATAAAAAGAAGAAGAAAAAAAACATATTAAAAGGCGAAAAAAAAATAACGATTACATTTTAAGATTGATTCTGGTAATAATGTTGCCATACATGTTCAACTAAATCAGCTTTCAATTCTTCATGTTTAATCCGATCACGAACTCGGGCTCTAGTGCCATCATATTACCGAGATTTGAAGGCATATCTGTAGCATAGGTGAAATCCACTTGTGAAGAGCTGGCTGATTCTGAATGTACGAATTCAGATACATCAAACTGAGTGTATCCATCTCGTTCGTCCTCTACTATCATATTGTGAAGTATTATACATGCTCGCATAATATTTCCAATTTCACCTTATCATGAAAAAGAGCTGGATGTTTGACAATGGCAAACCGAGCTTGCAAAACTCCGAAAGCACGCTCAACATCTTTACGACAAGCTTCTTGAGTTGTAGCAAATAAAGAAGCTTTATCACCTTGTGGAATTGAAATTGATTGGATAAATGTAGCCCATTTAGGATAAATTCCATCTGTGAGGTAGTAAGCCAAATTATAGTCTTTCCCGTTGACTACGTATTTCACTTTCGGAGCTCGACCTTGTAATATATCATCAAAAACTGGTGAGCGATCAAGAATATTGATATCGTTTAAGGTACCTGGAGGTCCAAAAAACGCGTGCACGAAGAAAAGAGAGAGAAGAAGAAAAAAATAAAACGCGTGTGGGTTTTTTTTTTTTTTGGTTTTGTCAATACGTTTACCCAATAAACTGAAGCCACGTATGGGTTTCTATTAGGTCGCGAAAAACCCAATTTTAGGAACGATCCTAAATGGATTGTTCTGTTTTTCTTTCATCTGGGCCCATTTCATCTTAGAAACCCACTAAAAACCCTTACTGGACTTGGTCTTAGTTTTAGTATCTGTGTACACGAGAATGCCAGTTGTACGTAACTACGTATATATCGATTAATTGTATCTTAAAGCATCTCCGTCAATTAGAAATTCATGAAAGTATCTAATTAATAACATGTTAATAAAAATTAAGTATTTAATAAAATTAAATTTTGTTGAAAAACACTACACCAATTAATGGAGATGGAGTTCTTATTTATGTATCATGGGGATAAGATCCCTTTTTCTCTATTCTTTAGTAGGGATATCTCAATTAGATACTCCAATGGAATTATTTTTATGCATGACGAAAAAGTAAAGACGATTTTATTTTATAGGATTCCTAATATTTGATGTAATTTATTATAGTTTCAAAATGGTGATTCCAATGTACATATTTTTTCTCTTTTTCAGGAATGCTATGTTTGGTAAGAATTTTTTTTTCTTTGAATTGAATTGAATTGAATGTAAATTATATTCAACCAAAAAAACCTTTGTACAAATGAATGCATTAGTTTTTGTTTAAGTTTAGAAAATACAATATAAATTTTTTGAAGAGAAGCTGAAAACTAAATGTTTATGCATATGCCATTCAGATGTACACATATACGATTATTACTTTGTATTTCTTAATTGGGATCTCTGAATCTAAACGAAATAGTTATTAAAGTTATAAAGATGAAGATTATAATGGTTTATTATATATGTATATATTTGGTGATCCAGAAGAGTCATGAGAAAAGAAAAATTTTGTATGCATATCAGTGATATCACTATTCAAATATGCGTGTAAAATATTATTTTTGTCTTTTTTTCTAGAAATTTACATGTGTAATATTCTGCGCAATTCGTAGGTGTAGTAAATTTCTTACCATGAACCGCGAGTTGGCAAGTTTGCAGTGCCGGTCCGAGCATTTGTGAGGCCCTACACGAAATATAAAATGAGGCCCTGATATTTATTAACAATATTTAACATATGATTTTTTTTATATATGTTAATTTTTATTATTGTTTTAAAAAAATATCCAAAAAAATGGGCCTTAATATCACTAATTTAACTAAGTAAAATTTCAAAATGGGCCTCAATAACCAAAAAATACTACCAAAAAAAAAAATCGTGGGGCCCCAAGCAGTGGCTTGGGTCGCCTGTCCTGCGGGCCGGGCCTGCAAGTTTGCATTATCAAGATACAATTTTCTCTGCATCTTCTGAACTAATAATATATCACGGATTTTGTTGATTAAATACGAAGTAATTTTTCTTTTTCTTTTGGTAAATATTAGGTAGTAAGTATAATGAGAATATTAACATGGTCTCTGTGCAAGTATAACATGTTCACATAGAAAAATGTCCAACTTTAAGTATGATTTCATTTGACATTGTACTTTTTTTTTATTAATAGGCTTACAAGTTAACAATTATTGTATCTATTTTAACAAAAAAAAAAAAACCACCTATTTTATTTCTCTGCAGGGTTTTTGAAATGTTTTTTTTATAGGAGAAAATAAAATTATGAATGTTAAGGTGATTTCCTTAAGCCTTAGAGATACAAGTTTTTTGGTTCTCTTAAATCCACAAAATTGCACGTTTGCTCCTAGAACCAAAAAAACCATCACCAACCCAAGTTTGAAGAACCATCTTTGTCCAAAGAATTTATATAAATATTTCATATGCTTTTTTATTTCACCAAACAAATGATTCACACAAACACAATTATAATACAAATAAATAGATTGGCAACATTATGAATGAAGAAAGCTTATTCACGAACGGGAAACGACTGATGATCCAACTCCACCATCCTTCTTCAGATCTTTCTCATCTCTCTTGATCGCGTCTTCGATCTTAACATCATCCTCAACTGATAACACCACAGACTTTTGTCCATTAGGTCCTTCGACTATAGCTTCCTTCATCTTAAAGTGCTCATCCACACGAACCGCCTCAGATTTCTCACGGTGCTTCCTGGATCTCGTCTTGATCAAGAACCAGATAACAAAAGCTAGAAACGCCAAGAACATGACAGAACCCAAAGAGACAAACACAACTACTACAACAGTAGTGTCATGGTCTGGAGTTGGTGTGGGACGGTAAACTGAATCCGTGGAGGCCATTGATTGTGTATGAAGTGTGAGGCTGATGATTTATTTCTTGAGGTGGGTTTGGTGTGAGAAAGATGGAGATTCATGTGGCTTATTTGTAGTGAGAATTGAGAATAGTATGTTGCTGCTAAGTTTCTAATGACTTAGCTCCTATCCTAAGATTTTGCTTGTTGTTTTTGTTAAGCTAACCTAGAAATAAAAAATAAAAGTAAGAGTAAAAGCCAAGAAAAATAGGCTCTCAAAATATCTGATTTTGATGGTTGCATCCAAAACTATGTAAGAATTTGAAGAGGCAAAATTCATAATTCTCACAATTATTGTTCCATTTTGTTAACTAAAGCAAAGTCATGAAAGATAAATTACCAAAATATAAAAACAATTCATGGACATACCAAAACATGTGGGTGACTTTTTGTTTCCCAAGTGATTTGAGACTTTTTTTTTGTTCTTTTATCCAAACTAGACAAAGCTTGAAAACAAGATTTGAACACTTACATAAGTTTCAAATTCTCAGCATAGTCTAGAGAGGTGTAAACTCTCGTACGCTTAAACACTTCAAGACCTTGTATTTGAACTCTTGTGAAACTCCAGCTCTCAAGGTTGAAGTAATAAATGTAACATGGTTCTACTAGACAGTACTGTGACAACACAACTTCACCTCTACCAGTCATTCCAACAATGAATAACTCGGCACGTTGAACTATGTTGTCCCACAAAGAAGGCAATATGTAGATATCTTTGGACCATATATATTTCTCAGCATCTTCTAGAATCCAAAACTCAAGTTGCATTCGACTCAAAAATGTAAACTGAAGTGCACCTAATTAATTTATCCTTGTAGTTGATCAAAGTACAAGAATGAGTCATAAACATGCATCCATCTAACAAAACTAAACTTCTCAATTTGGCAAGATCATTGAGAAAATCAATTTGAATTTGTTCTTGATGGGTTATTTTAAGATTACAAGTCACTGATTGATCAAGTTGAAAGCACAGACACTCCAACGCTTACGAAACTTCATGAGAAGCTAGCTAATAAGTAAAGATCTTAGTAATTGTTCAGAAATATATTTAAAGTATCTTTTAATAATATTATTCAAATAATTGCTTTCAACTGAAACAACGAAACTGATCTCTAAAGAAAAAAACAAAAGAAACATGACCAACGAAAATAATTAAAAAGAGTAGCATTGCTTCCCCTTCAATCATGAAGAGCAGGAGGTGATTTGTTTGGTAATCTCCGGCCAAGCACAAAGCTGGTGAACAAATGCAAAGCTCGTGAAGGCTGCGAGTACGGTACCATATGAGCCGCTCCTCTCACCGTTGCGAATGTCAGTAGATTCCCATACTCTATTACCCATCCGCCAACCTTGTAACGTCAATAACTTTACAATTAGGGGTAGACATAAGTACATAACCGAACAAACTAAAAAAATTTAAATTGAAAACAGGACCAAACACTTAAAATGAAAACAACGGTAGTAATTTTCTTACACCTAAACGAAGTCAAAATCAAAACAAATTTAGTCTATTATAAGATTCATTATAAACTAAACTGTATATCAAAAAATACATTTTATTATACATAAAATATATAACTTAGTTTAAATTACATACCTAACTTTATTTAGATTATTTTTCCACTTTTTATACGAAAAAAAGGTGGACCAAACCTACTTTACATAAAACCAAATCGAAAGCCAATGAAATCGAAACCAAGCGAAAAATACCGAATGCTCAAACCAAGGGCAGAGCATACTTAATGTTTTCTGTGGAACAAACCTGTCCTTTGTCAAACCAAGCTCCATAGGGAACTGTGGTATTGAAGTTGAGATCATCTGCAAGTTCTTTTACCAAAGTCCTTGAACCAAGAAGTGGAATTACAGAATCTTGATCCCCACTGCATGTTTTTATTTAAACAAAAAAATTTGTATGTTTACCACCAGATTACAAAAGTAGAAGAATAAATTAAGAAAGGGTATAAAAATGGAATCAATACCTGAAGACCCAAACATGGACTTTGCTCTTCACGATTCTCTTAAGAATTGGAAGTATATTGGTGTTCCCATCAGTATAATTGTATTTCAAGAGGCTGAGAGGATGAAACATAATCTTAAGTAAATTATGAGATATATATAAGATTAGAGATGGTTCAAGTTAGACTATACCTGCTGCACATAGACCATTGATATGGCAGTTGAGTTCGGTTAGCATGTAGAGCCTTTTGAACCTCAGGAAGATTTAAATACAATTGTTCTTCATAACTCATGCACACGTCCACCCCAAAACTCATCTTTGTACCCTAAAATCCATTTTCAAAACAATATTATACAGTTTGAACAAATATGACCGCGCATCGATGGTACTAGCAGAAACCATTAGGCTATATATATCTTTATCCATTTAAACTTCCGGCTTTTCCATTTTCATTAGAAAATAATTTTGTCCAAAATACTTCAATTTGTGGTTTTGTTTTCAAAATAGTTATGATATAAAAATATGTAAATGTAAATGCAACCAAATAGTAAAAGTCTTGGGGCAAACTCGTTTCCTTTTTTTTTTTCTTACCATTTTCTTGAGCCTGAGCTCTTGCTCGAAGAGGGACGGGTAGCAGATATCGAGGAGGATGTCGTAGTAATTGATATATTGAGTGATGATGGTTCCAGCTTGACTCACTGCGGCTTCGCAAGATTTGCTTATGTTGTGTGAATCTGTGAATGTGTAATCTTCAAAATCGCATTGGTTCATGATAGTGAGGCCAAGTTCATCAGATATCATCCCGTGTGACCAGAAGAACTCATATATCCCTGGAATATCGCGGTCAAGCTTCAAAAGCGGATTCCCGATCTGATCAAAAGCAGAGGAATCAATCAAAAACAGAACAAAACAGAGATTTGAAAAGAACTTTTTTTGTTCTTATTGCTTACTGCAATCCCTTTGAGATTGAACTTGAATCTATTTGACTGTTGAGCGTTGTATTCGAGTATCACATCAGCTAATTGAGGTACATAGTGTCCTGCATAGCTTTCGCCGGCGAGAAAGAGGTTTCGAGTCTTGAATTGTGGAAATTTTTCTAACCATCTTAACATGAACACCAGCATATCCTTGGCTATTATTGAAAACATCATTCAAGAAAATGTCTATTAAAAAACTTTATTAATTTTAAAATTTTAAATAATGACAAAAGATGATTTAATCATTTGAAATATTATATAATACCGGTGGATTCATCGCCGGTAGTGTAATCAGAAGTTGTATTCGAATAAGACCATCCTACTCCAGCCGGTGAATCCACAAACAATAGATTTGAGGCTTCATCACAATAATTAAATTAACAACACAAACTTTGTCATTGTTAAACACAATTTACATTTTTCAGTCTAAGAGATACTAGCAGAGAGGGAGAGAGACCTTTGTTCCAAGATTTGGGATTTCTACGGAGGCCACGACCATTTCCGATGGGGTAAAATGGACCCAACTCCGTAAAAGCTCCTCCTCCTATGGAAGAACAGCCTGGTCCTGCAACAATTCCTCTGTTTTAATTAGAGGTGGCCTTATAAATTTTATAATTCTAACTCGCAATATATATAAATATATATATATTTTTTTGAATGAATGTAAAATTTATTCATCAAAATATATATAAATAAACTAAATATATATTTGATCATTTCTCAAAAAGTACGTAGTTTTGTTGTATGGCGTTAGTGATGTCACATAGCCATTATCCGAGTTCAAATCCGTATAATGCATCTTAGTGGTGAAAAAAACAAATTTTAAAGAAAAACGTTAGACAGTAATCAAACCTCCATTGAGCCAAAGAGTTAAAGGTTTAGAGTGGGGTTGCTTCTCGGCTTCGACGAAGTAGTAGAAGAGACTCCGACCAGCTTTGACATCGATATCGACATAACCCGCGAATTGTCTGAATGCCACTTCCGGTTGTCCAGGCAGCTTTGTCACAAGATCTTCTACTGGAAATCCCTCAGCTAAATTACCATTATAACCCCACCACCACTGCAACACCATTACTACGACTGCTACTTCTAGGAACCGCCACTTACCTCCCGCCATTTCTCTCTCTCTCTCTCTATCTCTTTTTGGGGAAGCTCGCTCTCTGTGTTTTAACTTCCGCTCTTTGTTTCTGTGCCTTGTGTACATGTATTGGTAACGTTATTTATAGACAACCACTTCTATAAAAGTTTTTCACTCTAATAATTAAATTAAGTAACGTGTAAAATAAAATAATGGACAATTGCATTCTATAACCAAAAAGATATTATAATGTAGTGAGTAATCACATAAATGAGTTGGCTTTGATATTCATATTGTGTAAAATATAATCTATATTTTTCCTTCGATGCAACATGAGCAAGCATAAATGACTTCCCCTCTTCATCCCCTAACACATTTAGACACACCACATATGTGTACTTCTTACTTCTCACTTTCTTCCTTTTTCTTAGTATTTCCCCACTAGCTAGCTCTTATCATATTTGCTTTGGAAATTTTAAAAAATAAACTCGAATCAAACTTGCAAATTCTACTAAAAAACAGATTCAACTTTTTTGAAAAATGAATAAATAATATTAAGTTTAATACTATATAGAACGATGTGAACAATATATACATATTATATAGAACGTAATATTTATTTTACATCATTATATATATAAACCATACTATACATTAATTCTTTCACAGTTAAGAAATAAATACTATTCGATAAATAATTTGATTACAGTTTATCAGAATTTGTATTTGCATGCTTTTGTCATTGTTAATTTGTTATTTTTGGCAAAAATACAACGTGGGTGAAAATTACATTTTGGATGAGCATTCGATTCAGTTATACAAAATTACAGATTAGGACAAAGAAAACTAATAATATTTTTAATTATCGAAAAACAAATTTACAAGAAAACTTTCGCCACTCTATATAGAACACAAACCATTCTAGGGTATAGCGCTCAATAATTTCTTAGGGTAAAACGTTTTTATTCAATAATTTTGCTAGCCGATAATTTATGTCGGTTTTATGTGTTATATGTTTTAGGGTATAGCGTTTTTTCTTTGACATATGTTTAACTTGATTGTTTGGGTTCTATATGTTATTCGGTGTTCAAGAAAACGCTTGGCGCTAAGCGGGCGGTAATCCAGTGCCTAGCGCCTAGAACTCCTAATCGGGGCCTAGGCGATTTTTAGGTGGTTTACGCGTTATAACATAAAACATTATAAATACGATATTATATATAAAATTTATATAAAATATCAATAAAAAAAAATATGAAATCATATATAAAAATTTGATAAAACATTTACTTATGTTTATATTAAATAATATATAAATATTTATAACTATATATATATAGAGATAAAACTTAATTGGAAATTGAAAAAATACATTAAATAAGATCTATGTAATTTTATGCGGTCAAGACAGTCATCTAGGCGTCGAATGAGAGCCTAACGCCTAGTCGGGGACCGGCTTTTAGAACACTTATACCCTTTAGAGTATAACGTTTTTTTTGTTGACGTGCGTTTAACTCGACTATTTGGATTTCCTAAATTATATTTTTTAAAATAAAGTTTTTCTTCTTTCGCTTGCGTTAAGATTGATTTTTTTTTTATCCCCTATATATTATCTCTTCGGTTATACCGCAACCACCATAACCTCCACAGTAATCACTACAATCTTAACCACCATGTCCAGTGGCGGAGGCAATGAAGAATCATGGGGGTCATGTGACACCCATGAAATTATGATTTTCAGTTTAACTTTTGGTTAAAATAATTATTTGACACATGTCTAAGGAGTTATTGACACCCCTAACAAATTTTATTGACCCCTCTCAAATCCATGAATGTAGTTTAAAAATTAATATTTAACATTCTAAAGTTTGCAGTTTAATAATTTATCACAAACAAGTTTAAAATATAAATATGCTACTAATTTTGTTTATAGTTTAGCATATTAACATTATCGTTGGGCATTTTTGACAAACTGTTGGGCTTTAACGAAATTTTAATTGATTTTGTTGCTTAATTACTTAATTAAAAAATAATATTTCTTGGAATAAGTTGATTAAAAAAAAGTCAATTCCTAAATGTCGATAATAAAATTTTCAAAAATATCATTAAGATAAATATTTGTAGCCAAAAATTAAAGATGTCATTACAAATATTCATCTTAAAGATCTTTACCAAAAAAAAAAATATTCATCTTAAAGATGAATTCTACGTTCACTCATAATTTTTAGAAAATATTTTTAAAATGAATATTTGTAATGATATTTTTTAGTAAAATTAATATTTATAAAATAAAAAAATATTATGACCCCCTTGACTAATTTTTCTGGCTCCGCCACTGACCATGTCTCGCTCTATACTATTTCAATTTATTCTATAGTGTTTTATTTGTATTCTATGTACACAAAAAGTTTAACATACAATAAATTTTCTTCTTACAAGTTTATGCCATGATTTTTTAAAATCAAAATCATGATACATGCAGAATTTTTTTGTTAAGAAAAATTATGAACTTGAATTAATTATTTTAAACATAAAACATGAAGTATAAATTAAAAAGGTATAAAGAAAAAAATATATTAAAATAGCCGCATAATCGTTTCTTTCTCTCACATCCACCGATTGAGTCCAAATTGGTCATTACACGATACCTTTTGGTATATATATATATATATATATATATATATATATATATATATATATATTTTTGGGCAATAGATGCAGATTAATATATTTTAGTTATTTTGTATATTTCAGTTATTTTAGTATAACAATTATTAATATATTCGGATTTATAATTGTATTTTTGGATATTTGAGTTATTTCATATCTTAGTATAACTAATAATTTTTAGATGTATAATTGTATTTCTGGTATTTCAAATATCCATTTGGTTTCGATTTGGTTTAAATTTTTCGATATAGGAGTCTAGGATTCGTTCAGGTATTTATGTCGGTTATGTTTTGGCTATGTGTCTCTCGATTTAGGTTGGTTTCGGTTTGGTTCTCAGATCTGTATATTTTAATATATATGTATTTTTTAATCTATCACTCGGGAGGTTTTTTTTTTTTTTTTCGTCTGACTAATCATATTAAACCTTCGAAAGATACAAAGATCGGCGGAAAGAGTTAATATCCCCGATCAGATAAGTCGGCGGAAAGAGTTAATATCCCCGATAAGATAAGTCGGCGGAAAATAGTGATATCCCCGAAGACAATAGCCCAAAAGAGGGAAGCTAACAAACAACCAAATACAAGACCATAAGCTAAACTTAGAAAACTAACCGATAAACCTCCAATGAGTGAAATAATTAGAAATCACAAGAATCTCAAAGGAAAAGGCCTGAACTTGAAGCTAAGGGATCGACGCACAAATGCCTTATTTGTCTTGTGGAGAGGAACCGAATCAAAACCCATGAATAGCTCCTCTCTCTGCTGAAAGAATTGATAGAGCTTTGGGTAGTATTAAACGTTCCAAACCAACCCCGAGAAGACGATAATCTCAAGTGGAAGAGATACCGCATATGATGGCAAAATAGCGACCCACGAACTCCAAACGAAGCAGATCTTGATGAGACAGAAGAACCAACTAAAGAAGATGAGCAAAGAGCCAATGGCAAAAGGCATCGAGTCCGTCTCACCACACGAGAGATTTTCCAGGACATTCGATACAAAACACAACACCAAGGCAGAGAAACAATGGCCAGAACCGAAACTTCACTCAAACAAGATCCAACCACAGAACAGACAAAAACCCCACAAAAAGAAGACTCTGAGAATTCAAAAACAATCAGCAGAAGAATCCGCCAACCAGAGCAACATACCCGAAAAGGTGAAAGAACCAGATCTGAAATTCACATCCATCTCGCACCACGAACTGACCGGAGTCACCACCGAGCCTCACAAGAGAAGCAATTGAGCAGCCAAACCAAACCAGAAACGACTCCAAAACCCACCTAGGAGAAAGCAGCCGCGAACCTCGAACATGGAAGCCGGTCCAAAGACAAAAACTACTCCCGCCTCCTAACGAACAAGCAAACACCCATCGCAAAGAAGAAACCCACCAGACGAGTAACAGGCCAGAAGAAATTGATGGAGAGAAAAGATCGAGTCGTGCCATTGAGAAGTCAAGAACATCAACAGATTTGCGACGAGAGCAACACCATCTCCGATCTCGACAAGAGATCCCAATCACTCGAGAAAATCATCTCCACCAACATCCAAACAAAAGGAACAAGAAAAAACAACAAATTATACTAAAGAGGCACAACGCCGGTGCTAAAGGAGCCACCGGACGTTGGCCGTACTTAAGCGGCGGCTGAGTTGGTTTTGAGAAAAGAGAGGAGAGAGAAGAGAGCAAATTAGGGTTGGCCGACGATTCTCACTCGGGAGGTTATTCGGTTAGTATCTTTTGTGGTAGTTTTATGTTAATGGTTCTTATTGCGATGGTGCTTTAATTATATGTTTTATTTTCCAACCTTTATTTTAATTTACTGTCTGTTTGTATGTCCAAAGAACCTTTTTCATACATTGTTTTCATTTCTAGTTCTTGATTAATCTTAATTAAAATTAATATTTAGGTTTACAAACCATAATATATATAGTTCCTCGATTTGTACTAATGTTATCATTGTGTTACCATCAATATTCAAACTCATATAATACATGTTGTTAACATAATGATTTTGTGATGTTTGTAGTTGGAAAAAACAAACCTAAGAGCATCTCCATTGGGGAGATGTCTCACAGTTTCTCACAATTAAAATAATGAAAAAATAGAAAAAGGAGTGAGAGAGAGAAACTCTGAAATACTCTGACAACCTCATTTTGCTAGATGTATTAATACTATTGGTCTAATTTAATTAGATATTTTAAATTTTGTTTAAATAATAAAATCATAACAAAAATAATATATTTTATTCATTAGATACTCTTTTTAGATCTTTACCGATGAGAATGCTCTAAATGGTCATATATATGTTTGACAAAAACAAATTGTCATATATATATATATATAATTCAACCATCGGCGAGTTGGGTTAAGCACTCGAGAGAATGTAAAGACGAGATCTTATGGTGCAAGAAATCTCGTTTATGAGAGATGAGTCCCATCAAATTTCTGTTATTTCCAAATAAAGCAGAAACAAGCTTACATCACTATCAACCAACTCAAGAACCTTATATTTATTAATCTACGTCTAACTCATACCCAAAAGCTAATTCAAAAGAAGAGGATTGCCACACACTTATATATTGTCCAAAGATTTTTGTTAATTTTCAATATGGGACTCTAATATACTTCTCTCACGCTCAATACTAGACATCTGAAGCGTGAAATTTGTAGGATTGGATATCTACAGGTGATAGCTTACAATTGAGAAGATTGCGCTTTGACTCTGATACCATATTAGTGTTGACCTAACTACATTTAAAAGTTAGCTCAAAAGAAGAAGATTATCACACATTTATATATTATCCAAAAAAAATTTACTAACTTCTAATATGGAACTCTAATCAATACAATAATAACCCTTGAATCTCTCCAGAGGTTGACACCTCAGCTTTTTTAAGCATTGTGGTGTTGACACCTCAGTTAAAATGAATGACCAATGAAAACATTCTAAATAATACAACTCATTTTTCATATCCAATAAGAACCTTTCATTTTTCCACATTATTCTCTTATATAGAAATATCAAAATGGGCCTAAACTCATGGGCTTAACCCAGTCCGGTCCGGTTATGAACACAAAATATTAAATCTGTTAAAAAAGGATCTTGCGGGCAATCCTACACGGATTACGGATTTTAGAAAGTTATGCCCGAAGATTGACAGATTGGCCCGCACTACATATATATATAAAAAAATTAATATATCATATATAGAATTAAATATTTTATATATTTTTGTAAATATAATATGTCAAGAATATGTGATAATATAAAATTTAAATTATAAAATTATTATATTTACCAAAAAGATAGTATTAAAAGTTTTTTAATGGTGTTTACACGTTAGTTTTTCAAGCTATTTTCAAACTAACACATCATTAAAATTGATACATAATCAAAATATAAGTACTAAACAAAACTGAACATGGTAATTAATTCAGCATCTCTAACTAATACGATCTTTGAAAATTCTAATTATTAATTCTTTAAAGTTGCAAAAGATATAAAATAATTAGTAAAATTTAATATTTATAAAATTTACTATATTTAGAGTGCACATGGTAATGATACTTTTTGTAATAATTGGTTCCGAATAGTATAAAAGTAAACAATCAAGTTCTAAAATTTTATTTAATTATATCAAATCACTAAATAAAAAATTCAAAAAATACCTTTGCTACGAAAATAAATTATTAACTGAAAAATATACTAGAATTTTACTTTTGAAACATCATCTTTTCATTAGATATTAACGTTGGCAATAGAGACTATAATTATAATTACAAAGTCTAATTACATAAATAAAAATCTAATCCCTAGAAGTAAATTTTTTTACAATTTAAGTAAAGATAAAACATTAAATTATAAACACTAGGTTTCTCTCCAGTGCTGACACCTCAGCTTTTTGGAGTGTTCTGGACATGACACATCATTAAAATCATCATCCAATAAAAATATTTGGATTAATACACATCAGATTTTTTGGCCAATAATCATCCCTTATGCTTTTATTAATATTGTCTCATTTGTTCTTGAGCTCTAACATATGGGCTTAATGTTTTAGAATAGGATTGTTGGACTTCAATTTAGGGCTTGATTGGTTCTCCCGCCTAGCGGTTGTTAGCGGTTGGTTGCGGTTGTTAGCGGTTGGTACCAATCATAGAAACTGTTCCATACCACTTCGAACAGTTCGAAATCGCTGGATTTTAAAAGCTCCTTTCCGCAAGCGTTTGCGGTTGCGGACGGTTGCGGTTGGTTTAAAAAAGGAAAAAAACTGAAAAAGAAAAATGAACAAATTTAAATATATATTATCAAGTCTTATGTATATTCACGTTAATTCTAAAAAAAAAAAATTATCTAACTTTAATTTTCCAATATTAATAATTATTTTTGTTTTCAATATAAAATTTATTTGAATAATTATTTATGGTTTTTAATCATTAATCATGTTTAAAATTTTTATATTTTTTCATAATTATAGTTTTTGATGTTTTTATACTTTTTATAATCATATACTAAATTTATTTTGGTAAATTTTGGTTTAACCGCTATTGTACCCGCTGATCAACCAGTCGTAAATCTCCCGCAAACGTATTCGTTTTTAACCGCTAAACCAGTCGGTCAAAATGCTAAATAATGCTTGAAACCGCAACCGTCCGTTTCCGCAAACTCCCACAACCGCAACCGCTACGTTTAAACCAGTCAAGCCCTTACTTGTAATGTTTACCCTTTGGATAAAATTGGATACAAATCGAATTAGTTAAGAACTATTGCAATAAAATATTATAAGATTTATTAAGCGTTATCATAGATCTTAATGAATAACTAAAAATCATTTGAGTAACGTTCTATACTCCTATAACAAACAAACAAACAAATCTCTTAGCCTTTTACGCCTCTTCAACATATAAATCAAGTATGCATATGGAACATTAAAATCAAAGATGATCATTCCATATAACATATTTTCAAGTATCTAAGTCATGAGTTCTATACAACTATGCATGTCCATATATATATATAAGTCCGATCGAATCAAATATCATAACTTTTGTCAAAAAATAAAAGCTCAACTATTTCATCGACGATATATTCAAATCGGAGAAAACAAAAACGGAAACTTGAGAAAAAAATAAGAGGAAAGAAAGATATTTACTTGTGGGCACTGAATTCAGATTCCAATTACATCAATCGCAGAGAAAAAGACGTAGGAGATTTAGAGTTCGATTGCGGAACACCGCCATAGTTCCCCCGCACTCCGGTGATAGAAACTCTTTTAGACATACAGTGAAACAATCGTCTCTTATTGGCTGCCATTAGTGAAAGTCTTTCAGATATGAAAGCAAAGGTCTTCCTTTTTTTTCCTCTCCGTTTAACTGTTTATCTAATCTATCTCTCTCCTTTGTTCATCTGTTTTTCTAGAAAAAAATGATCGTTTTCGGACTTTTTCAGGATACAAATTTTATCTGAATACTAAAATTGATTTACGGTTTGGTCTCAGTTTAACATTCAAATTTGATTTGGTTCTTTTTTTGCCTTCAAATTATTTAATTATTAAATATTTAATTAAAATCATTTCTTCAATATTAAAAAAAAATCATTTAAAAATATTTCGCGGCGGAGCGCGGGTTTCAACCTAGTAAGCTTTAATGAGACGAGCCAGTAAGAATAGTAAGGATCTCCTTAAGTCCGACGTGTAGTCATTTTGCAGAATTCCCCCAACCAACTTTTTCCAATCTTGATTCAAGAAATTACATGAGAAAAAGATGATTTCTTGTACAATATTATACACTTATGATGTGTATCAACTATCAACGATTGGAAAAAAGAAAAAGAAAAAAAAAAACTGATAGACTGAATAAATAGATTTATAGATGTTTCTGTTAGTAAAGGTTGGACATATCATAATGCACCTAACAAAGGTGTGCACACAGCACACTAATAATTTGATTGAAGAAGTTTAGTCACTAAGACTTGTCACACATCACAATGCAAATGATAGAGATATACGTTGCATATAGAGTGACGAGCCTTATTTTTTCTTTACATATTTGAGAATTCAATTTGTGTTATATAATATTTCAAATTTTGATTTTTCCGGCACAAAAATGTAAGAATGTAAAGAAAAAAATAATGAAAAGTGATTAAGGTAAATTATCAGCCGAAAAAAAAAAAAAAAAAATTATCAGCCGAACAAAGCGAAAAAAAAAGGTAAACAAACTTGCAGACTTGCAGTATAGAACCAAGCAAAAGTAATATAGCAGAAATTCACATACACGTGCCTTTCAAATATTATCCTATTTGGTTTCCCAAGGAACCTTTAACATCATCATATCTTTTGTTGCAAACTAAATTAGCCAATCACCGCCTACATTGAACTGGGTTTTCCTAAATACGTCACTACAATCTTATAAGTATTTATGCATCACCAACGACTTATCCAATAAAAGAACAAGATACCATTTGTAGAAATTTAGGAGGAAAAATATCTTTCAATACAATTTAATAACTAAATTTTAATCAACATTACATCTCGAGAAGATTTGTTTTTTAAAAGTAATGCTTTTAAAAGTCAATAATTATTTATTATATATAAAAATTTACAAATTGTATTATTTTATAAGATATTTATATTGTATAGTTTATAATTATTATTATGTAACAGTATACCACGTGACATTTTTGGTTTTTTACAATCTTATCAAAATCAGACTGATTCGATTTGTCTAATATTGATGGTGTTAAAAAATAATAAAATGAGAATTTAACCCGTATTGAAAAGGCGGATTAATGATATTTAAAATTTTATTAATGTTGATTTAAATTCATCCAGCCATACAGGCCTGCAATATAACCCGTCTGTGTTATTTTAATTTTTTTTGTTATGTTCAAATGTTCATAATATTATAAAATTTTATTGATTTTAAATATATCAATTATAATATTTAAAACATTATAAAAGTTTAGAATTTAATATATTCGGTACAATTAAACAGTTTAACTAAAAAACCGAATTAAATCGTATACAAACTTTTAAATTTGGATGCTTGTTAAGTTAAGCTTCCTTCTCATTCTTATTTGGATTATTTTGATCTTATTTATAATATGACTCTGAATCATTGTTGAAATATTTTAGCCGATGTTAGACGTTAAACATACATTTTTATTAATTGAGTAATATATGTCCGTTTTTTTAATTTCGAATCAAAATATATGCAGAAAAAAAAATTGAGATTTTTTTTAACTTTGTGTATTATATAATGATTTATAACAGTTAACAAAAATCAAACAAAATGATAGAAGAATCATAATTTTAAATCTTAACTAAATCTTCTAAATATCTATATTGTTAAATATGAAATATCTAGTGTAAGAGTTTGATTTCTTATAATCCGATCCAAAGAAAAATATAAAACATCCGGTGTAAAAATTTGAAGTTAATTTTGTACCTGATCACATACCAAAAAAATTCGGATAAACTTTTTATGCACCCAATACAAAGTGTACTTTAAAAATACTAATATAGATAATCTTATAAAAAAAATCTTTCAACCATTCGTTTGTTGCAAGATAATGAAATTAACTTTCTGTTATAATATGGATATGAAACTGGGTTTCTCTAAAATACGTCACTACACTCTTGTTATATACAATATACTAATATATTTTTATTTATTTGTAAACAATTTAAGTATAACATATTTATAGTCCCATTTGCTGAGATTTATGGACCACCAACGACTTATCCAATTGAAGAAAAAGATCACATTAGGAGGAAAAAATAACTGTAAAAAAGAAATTTAGAGAAAGAAAAACTCTTTCAATATTGAACAAAAAAAAAAAAAAAATTCTTCCAACCATCAACGATTTTAAAACACAAACAATTAAGTAACACTATTGAGATCAACGATTCAAATCCCTTATTATATACAATATTGATTAAGAAACTGATTTTAAAACCGAAAAAAAAAATAGAAATAACAGAGAAGATTTAATACTTCAAAAATAAATAAAAAAAGATACTGAAAATAGAAAGAAACAAGAGATATGTATTAGTAATTTTGTTGCTGAAATTATAATTGTTGTGTAAGAATGAATTGTAATGAAATTCTTGGTCGAGGCAAATTGGATCCGTATATTGGCCAAAGTGAGTACATGAATGTGGTTTATACATGACATGACTTGCTAATTCATGAAACTAATACAACTGGATATTGAAAATCCATAATTTCAGTTGAGTTAAATGATAAATCTAAATTCAGAAGGAAAAGAACCACATTCATAATTAAATTACGTGTAAAAGAATTAAATTTACCTACACAGGAGATGATAAAGAATTGCAAAGCGATTTATGAGATCATGTTAATTTACGTGTAAAAGGTTTATGTAGCTAAATCGGAATTGTAATTGAATATAAGTACAGTTCAATCGAACAAACTAGGGGATTGGATATTTTTAAGGAAATTTATTGAAATAAAGGTAAACATTATGAGGTTGGGGCAAAACGTGGCATGAATCATATAATATGACCGCAGATTTTAGATATCGGTCACACAAATCCACCAAAAGACAAAGATACGCTATCAAGGATACCAAGTTGGTTCGATTCTATACAGCATCTGGCTAACTATCAACAATCGGACAACAAAACCCAGCTATGTGTTAAACCCGAAAAAGAACTAACATATACTTAGAAAGGTTGAAGGAGAATCCTGCAAGTCCTACTTCCATCTCGTGTTAACCTTGAATCAGAGACTGTTAAAGGTAGCGAGTCTAGAGTGACTAATGTCGAGAAGTCTGTCTGGGCTTGAAGACGCCCCACAGGTAATACTTCGAGTTAAAAGCTGCAAACGATAATCACCCTTCTTAGCTTTACCGATTCATGCGAAAAATGAATGATTACAGATAGAAAAATTCCATTGACTTACTCCAAGAATCTTTTGGTAACATATAAGAGGTGAACAGTAGAAGTTCTGCATCATTAAGCACACATCTCATCGCGGAATCATTCGTCTTCATTTTATCAACAAGGGAATTGAAAACCTTTTCATCATTACTGGAAACCGAAAACAAAAATATGGTCAGACACTTTTATAGCATAGGGAGAGAAAACAAAATCAGTGTTTCATGTATACCTTTCACTGGAAGGGAAGAAAAAAAGAGCAATACTTTCATCCTTAGGTCCTCCATTCTTAAGAAAGGTTTTTGGCCATACTTCCAACCTGGGAAGTACTTCAGCAGAGAGGCAGCCCTTTAATGAACTCGCCGTTTCATGGACTTTAGGGCATGCTAAGCTTGATACATGAGCAACAATTCCATCCATGATACAGTTGTTTCCTCCTTTAACAGACATCAATCCCCTAGAAATTGACAAAACAGATCAGAATTCAAGCAAGCGATACAACTAAAGAGCATTTTTCTTTTACCTCCATATCGGTATTTTGATAGGTTGTGCTCTATAATGCCTAGATGACAACCTCTCAGTCTTTTGAGGCGTATTTGATTCAGCCACTTTGCAAGAACTATTCCCATCAGCTAACTGTCTATATCCATCAACCGGTATGCTTCCAGAACTTAATTTTCTTCTTTTGGTGACACAAGCATTATAATCTGGCACACTAGATGAATTAGCGGTCTCCGAAACAGATGCTCTATCTCCAACTAAACCAGTCAATTCATGAGGTTTTCTACTATCTGAGCTTTCTTGTCTCTTAGACTCCATCATTTCTTTAGTTGGTGAAGAAGAAGACACCTCCACATGTTCAACATTGGTAGTATCCCGAATCTCATGTTCCTCGACAGCTAAAACCGGTGGCGAATGATCGCCGCTCTTTTTCTTTTTCTTCTTCTTCTTCTTCTTCTTCTTCTTCAAGATATCTCCAAGATCAGTAGTCTGATCAACTTCTTTCATTTTGCTGGTACAAGAGCTATGATCTGGTACACTAGATGACTTATCCGCCTCCGAAACAGATGCTCTATCTCCAACTAAACCAGTCAAATCATGATGCTTTCTGCTACCTGAGCTTTCTTCTCTCTTAGATTCCACTGTTTCTTGAATTGGTGAAAAAGAACCCTCCACAGGTTCAACATTGGTAGCATTGTCCTCAGCTAAAACCAGTGGAGTACGATTTCTCCTCTTCTTCTTCTTTTTCTTCTTCTTCTTCTTCTTCTTCAAGATATGTGTAAGCTTAGCAGTCTGATCAACTTCATTGCAATAAGAATCACTGTCACTACTCTCATCACAGTCCTCACAAATCCAAGTTATGTATTCCGTGAAAGGAGTCGGTGTTATGCCTATACAATAGCTGAACAACAACAACACCGAAAACTTATAAAAACAAAATTGTACCACAAATTCAATCAAACCACAGGGGAAATTGAGAACCCAACTCACCGGTGAATAGACTCAATCTTACAAGAGTCACAAAAGACAAGTGCTTCTTCAAAACCAATGTCGCCACAAGTTTGACAAACAGGTGCCTGAAAAAAAAAAAAGAACTTTCTTTATAAAAGATCAAAATTTTCCAGGTTTAAAGCAGCACTGAGTGAAATTTGGTATCAAAAGTAAGTAAAAGAGCTTATGTACCTTGATATGTACAGACATTAGAGAGAGTAGTGTGACTCACGAGAGCTTTTGCAAGGATCAGAGGAAGAAGAAGAAGGAAGAGATATAATGAGCTAACGATTTTGCTCCGGTTTAGGGTTTAGAACAAATTTGGGCTTTTTATGTTCGGCCCATATTAACCAACATTCCGATTACGCTGTATAATTTTCACCCACCCAGTTAAAATATTGGGTTGCTGCATCTTCCATTTTTTTTTTAAATAGTAAATATAGGAAATGTTGGTTATTGCTAAATGTAAAACTGACTTTTATCAAAGTATTTTATTTGGATCTGAAAAAATCATATTTGAAATCATCTGAAATAGCATATATAATATATATATTTTTATATTTTAACTAGAAGATCATTTTCATACCTCCTTAAATCATTCAAGGTATGAAATATTTTTAATAACATAAAATTTTTGAAAATAAATATTGCTTATGGTACCTGTAGTTAAATTGCCTATAAATATGGTTCATGGTACTTTTAATAAAAAAAATTGAGAAAATAAATTTGGCTTACGGAATGGGGCAAGCAATTTTTGAGGAATGAAAAAAAAAAAATGTAAAGAATGAATAAAATGTATCATTATGATGAATAGTAACTAAACAATAATAATATCTTAAAAATATATTAAATCATTAATAAATCAAATTCAATGAAAAAATTATTATTAATACCAAATTCCCAAACATACATATTAATATATCAGTCGGTATCTAAATTCCCAAAACATATTAACTGTCAAAATTGAGAGGAGAATTGAGTGATAAAGTTATAATCTTTACTGAAAATTTCAATGAGAAAATGTTAAAAGTTTGAAAACAAGTCATCCGAAATTCAAATCTCAGGGGATTCAAATGCAGTGATTAACTTCGGAGCTCTTAAACTATCTCCGTCTTCGGCCACAATCGCCTCTCCCACATCCCAGTGAAAGTTTGAAATTTTTAAACATTTCCTCATTTTTCTCTTTCATGTTTATTAAGTGATTTAGTTAGTTTTTTTTATATAAAACCTTTTAAGGGTTGGAAATGTGTGTAACCAAAGATTGGATAATTCAATTACAAGATATTTTATTCAAAATATATGACTAAACTGTAATAATAAGTTTTAAGTAAACAAAATTTTATGATAAAGATGTGAAAGTGACCGTAGTCCAGTGGCAAATGATAAGTCCACTGAGAACATACACCATGATACCATTGATCGATTTCCGATCTCTACAAATGTCGGGATTTGGCTAATGTGTCGGTTAGTTGTGGCCCGTTGACAAAAAAATTATGATAAAGATATGAGACTGTCCAAAGTATCTTTGATATGATATGAGACTGTCCAAAGTATCTTTGATATGATATTTAATGAAAAATTCAACCTAAATACATGTATTATTATGAAAACAGGAGACTATAATAGAAATGTACAAAATAGAAAGTTATGATATAAAGACACCATCCAAACTAAAAATACGTATGAAACGAAGAGTCGACGAAAAAATAAGACATTCCAAATTTTTTGTTTAAAACGAATAATTGAAAAGATACTTCAAGAAAATATACAATTAAAAGACGCAACTATATCTTTTTCTTTCTTATTTTGATTTTGGTTTTGGTATTATGGATCTTGGTTCGCGCTTTGATAGTTAAAATATTATATTTTAAGTAATAATTTTGAAAGTATTTAATAATGATGGTTGTAAAACATAACTTTTGGGATTTATTTCTCTCTTTTAAAGAAAAACGATTCATTGATATCAGTATACTTTTCATAAAGCAAATTATTACATAAGCATGTATATACACTATATAGTAAGAAAAATATACGATTACTAATCCCAAAAGTTATATAAGCTTTACTAGATCATTAAAACATTATTTTTCTTCTTCATATTCGATTTTCTTTTGTTGAACTTCCATATTAGACAACGCATGATAAAACCCAATATTTCCGAAAACATTTATAGAAATGTCAATACTCTACATTTTGAAACAAGCAAGGTGTGAATTCTGCTCTTTTTCTTCTTCTTCTTCTTTTTCTTCGTCTTCTTCTTCAAGATATTTGTAAGCTTAGGAGTCTGGTCAACTTCATTGCAATCAGAATCACTGTCACTCGCATCACAGTCCTCACAAATCCAAGTTATGTATTCCGTAAAAGGAGTCGGTGTTATGCCTATACAATAGCTGAAGAACAACAACACCGAAAACTTATAAAAACAAAATTGTACCACAAATTCAATCAAACCACAGGGGAAAATCGAGAACCCAACTCACCGGTGAATAGACTCAATCTTACAAGAGTCACAATAGACAAGTGCTTCTTCAAAACCAATGTCGCCACAAGTTTGACAAACAGGTGCCTGAAAAAAAAGGAAAAAAAAAGAGCTTTCTTTATAAAAGATCAAAATTTTCCAGGTTTAAAGCAGCACTGAGTGAAATTTGGTATCAAAAGTAAGCAATAGAGCTTATGTACCTTGATATGTACAGACATTAGAGAAGAGTGGTGACTCACGAGAGCTTTTCCAAGGAAACAATGGCTAGAAAGCCACTTTCTCCAAAATAAAAAGCTAGAATGCCACTTTCTATTTTGTAATTTTATTTACCATTTTTCTTAAAATCAAAAGTGATGGAAATGTCCAAAAAACCTTTAAGAAAATTGGAAACTACAGATCCAACCAAAATAATCCTACCCAAATCCAATAAAACGGATTATCCATCGTCTGCTACATTATCTCCGTCTGAGGAATCAGCAGCTCTTCCTATGACCACAACACCGCCGCCGCCGCTTACATCCGTGAATAAGGAAGAGACTATAACCTCGAGAATCTCTGACGCGACGGCCATTGGTGAACCGATGGCTATCTGAAAAGATAAGAAGTAGGTGGGAGAAGCTGATGATTGCGAGAGCTGTGTACCTCGGTGAGGCGGAGCAAGTGCCTACCAAAGACGACAAAGAGCTTGAACTCGAAATCGTTAGAAACTTGAGGAAGAGATGCGTTGAGAGCGAGCGTCAAATATCTGTAGCACTTGAAGCATCCCCTCTCGATTTGCAGGACCAGCTTAATCAATACATGGATAAGAGGTTTGTCTACACATTCTTACTGCAAATTTAAGATTGCCTCGGTACTTTTCGTGATCGTGAATATTGTTTGGTGGCAGGATAAACGGAGAATTAATCCACCTGATCCAATAGCTAGGATGAAGCTTGAGTTTCTCTTAGGATTCTCTAGTTGTAATAGATACCCTCCTAGTCGCCAAATTCTGGTTTGCAAGTGATTAAGCCCGTGAGCTTCCAAATAAAGCAAGCGTAGAATACTTTGGTTTAGAAAATTAATATCTCCCAAACCAAAATTGGTATTGACTTGATTCCAATTCGCCATGAGTCTCTGTCGAGTCAAGATTGTAGAAAAATTGTCTTTGTAGCTTAACTCCTTCTGGTCTTGTCGTAATTCTCCAATAAGTAGATGTTGGTCGTAATCCTCCAATAAGTAGATGTTGGTCTGGTCGTAATCCTCCAATAAAAATCCTAAAGAAGCCATATGTGAAGTTGCTGAGAAGCTTGTTGTTGGAAGCCATGGTAAAGGAGCATTACAAAGGTATGTGTGTAGGTTCCGTTTTGTCAGTTTTTTTTGTATGGATAGCTTGTTTAGAGATTAGTTAGGCTTGGTTTGATCCTTTTAAATAGGGTTTTTTTATATGGATAGCTATGTTTTTTAGTCAGATTCGTAGCTTTAGTTTGGCATAAACCTTAGAATTATTATCTCAATTTGATAAATGAATTGTTTAACTAAGTGTTTATATAGCAGTATGTTTTAACTGATATAATTTGCATGTTTTTTGATGAATGTGTACTTGTTTGTATCTTTACTTGTTGATTTTTGTTTCTAAATTCAGATATGGATTTTCTGCATCATTTGGTTCAATAAAATGAAGAACTAAAAAGCTTTCTGAAGAGTATAATAGTGGTTTGAATGATGATTTGGTGTTGGGAGATCCTACTGTGCCAAGGTTTGTGTTGTGGAATGGGAAACTGATATGTTGCCATCTCTTTTGCTTCGTTGATGGATGCATAAATTGATTGAAGAGATTTCTAGAAGGCAAGGAGAGTTTAGATGATAGAACTAGGTGTAATACTTTTTGCTTGATTTGGGTAGATGCAAAAAGGCATTGACTTTGCGTTAAATTATATGATTATGTTAGATTGTTAGTGACTAATGCCCATGGTAACCCATGCCTTATGTTTTCGATTAAGCTTTTCATTTGTTGTTTATTTTCACATAACTACTGATGTAATCTATTTCTCACAAAGCAGATGGATACTTATCATATTGTATGCAATCGTTTATTTAGGTACAACTGATATGTTTAGGTACAACTACGTAAAGGTACACCTGGTATATTTAGGTACAACTACGTAAAGGTACAACTGGTATATTTAGGTACAACTACAAGGTCCTTTTGAGCTTTTAAAAAAAAAAAATTTAATTAAAATTGATATTAAAATGAATTTAAATATGACTGACGTGAAAAAAAAATAAAAATAGACCTTTGGCGGCGGGATATTAATTTAAAAATTATCTGTATTTTGTTGTGTTGTGGATTAAGAACATATGACTTCATGTTATTGTAAACCAAAAAAATATTTAGATTATATTTATGTTCAATTGGTTTTGTAGGTACAACTGGTCTATTTAGGTACAACTACGTGTATGATTTACTTATAAAAAAGTACAACTAGATCATTTAGGTACAACTGAGACAATTAAAGATGACGTAAGCATGATTTTTGGCGGCGGAATATTAATTTTAAATCATCACACCTGTGGTAAGGTGGGCCAAAGACAGCATGATATTAATAAAAAATTGTTTTGTTTTAAACATAGTTGTACCTAGTTGTCCAGTTGTACTGTCATATTCATAGTTGGACTTTTACGATTTTTGTGTATTTCCAGTTGGACTTAAATGAAAATTAGTAATTTCTAGTTGGACACATGATGTTACACTATTAATTATCGTTTAAGAGGTTTTCAGAATACAATGTTCAGAAAAACTTGGATTTCACCTCTTTTGCTTCATATGAGATGATCACTTACTAAATCTTCCTTATATTAGAAGAAGTGTGTTATGTGAAAATGAAAAAAATAGTTACGAAATTGATAAATTCTGGTTGTATTGATTTCAAATAGTCTATTTTTATATTTGAAGATGTTTTTGGAGAATTTTTCATAAAAATCTTAATTTACAATTTATTATAATTTAATAAAAATCATAATACAATAAACGTAGTTGAACTAGTTGAACCAAGAGTATATATTAGGAAAATAATAAATTAGATTTTTATTTATTTAAAATTATTTTTTTAGAGTTCAGGATGTTTTTGGAATCGATATTAGCTCTAATTTATCGTTTTCATATTTGGTGTATAGAAATACATATACATTTATGGTTTTAGTTATACTCAGTCGAACCTAGTTGTACAAATACTACGAATTCAAATACAGATATGTTCTTAGTTGTACCCAGTCGAACATAGTTTTATAAATTTGACAATTACTAATACATGTTTTATTTTCCAAATCTTTGAATAACTTTGCATGTAAAACATATAGATCTGTAAGTAAAAATGGTTATCAATAATATCATATATTTACTTTGAAATTAAAATAACCAAAGTACAACGTTGTTAGCAACTAGAGCATCTACTTTAGCCGGAGTCTTGTCTTTCTTTGATCTATTTCTTCTTAGGCTTCTCAGATTTAGCCTCCTCATCACCATCTTTTTCCTTGGTTCCCATCTCAGTTTCTACACAAAATTCAGCAATTACGAATCAATAGATATGTCCCGTACATTATAGATGAGAAAAACAAGAATCTAAAATAATTACCGTTTTCAATTGTTTCACAAAGCATTAACAAGATCTATGATGCCTTCGTTCTCATCATCATCAGTAGTTTGGTTTAATTCAGTTAGAAGATTATTTACAACAATTAAAGCTAATCAAGGCTTACTAGTGTGTAACATCTAGAACTGATGATAAGAATCGGTAACTTCAACCATATACAAAAAAAAACAAAAAAAAAGTTTACCTTTCTCAAGATCCTTCTCTTGGTCATCAATCATGACTAAATCAGCATTTCCTACCTCCTTTTGAAGGTCTATTCAACAAAGAAACTATAGCTCTATAACACCCTAAGATAAAGGATCACAGAATTCAACAATTGTTATAAACTACAGTTTACCTTGTTCCATTGTCCCCATAAGATCAAGACTGGCCTCAACATCAATGGAATGACCATCTACAGGCTCCTCTTGGTCTGCATCACAAATTTGCTGGTTCTCTCCCATTCTAGTGCCACTTCCATCGCCGTTTTCATTGCCCTATAAACAGATGCAACAATAAAAGGGTAAACTAATCAACTAATATTCCCCAATAACTTCAAACTAATCAACTAGTAAGAATTTTGAGGTAGAATTTGCCATAAGAACTCATGATTACGGAATTGGCAGTTCTCGTTCCCAACATCGAATCCCACCACACTCATCTAAGCGTATCAACAAGAGATCTTAGATAATAAAATTCTTGCTCTTCGAAGAGAAATCAAATCAAACGAAAAGAAAGACAAAGGATGAAGAAGACTATACAATTATCAGAAACTTTGAATCGTTGATGCAAAACCTTTGATAACTGAGAGAGCGTCGTCGTCGTCGGAGTGGTGGTGGTTGTTGTTGATATCCATGGCGGAAGATTGAGAATTTAAGAAAGAATCTCTTAGTTTCATCAATGGCAGAGGAGAGAGGAGAACAAACCCATTGCAAGGACGAGACGCTGGAGACGGCGAGCGGTGAGATCGGCGGGGTGAGCTCCAATTTGGGAGGAGATAATTGGAGGTGAGGATACGAGCAATTTTTTTTTGCTGTTTTGTTTTTTTTTTCCGTTTTAATTTCTAAAAATTAACTAAATCAAAAATATTCAATAAGGGTAAAATAGAAATAACACATATTAGAGTGGCATACAGACTCAAAAATGGCAGCCCTGATTTATTTTTCCGGTTTGGTGGCACTCTAGCCTGTGACTCTTTTCCAAGGCTGAGGAAGAAGAAGAGGGAAGAGATATCAGCTAACGATTTGCTCCGGTTTAGGGTTTTTATCAATTTGGGCTTTTATGTTCGGCCCATATCAACCAACATTCCAATTACGCGGTTTCACTCTCAACAAGAAGTTAAAAATATTGGGTTGTTGCATCTTTCATTTTTTTGTTTTTAATAGTAATATAGGGTTATGGTTTATGATAGAGAGCCTATAACCACAGATCCTACGAATAAAATAGAGAGATCAATGTTGAGTTGTAGAAACAAATATCAATGTTATTTTCTTATCTAAGTATTAAGAAAGTGGACATGTATTTTTTTCTTCTGAGTATTAAGTAAGTGCACATGTACCGATTTATGAAGGGTATTTTAAGTTTATGTTTGGTTTTCTTCTCTATATGTATTTTTGTAGTCGTCTCCATGAATTATCAGAATTAGAGAGCAATATGTCACAAGTTTATTTTTGAAAATCGTGCGGCAGTCGACAATCTCTAATAGTGCTGACCCAACTTTCGTATTATGGACCAACTCCGGTTGATTTCACCCTGTTTTGGGCTCATCAGGTGATCGGCTCCAAATCACGACCAGTTTGTGCAGGGATGGCCTAATCCCTTTTTCTAAGTCTGATTCTCGATCAGCGAGAGACACCAAAACTCCACCTAAGTTGTTCAGTCTAACTTCAAAGGGACTTTCCAACCAGAATCATGCACACTCCTCACTGACGCACGTTCACCTGCCCCAGTGGATTAGCTTCGCGGAAGTAACGCAACTGTCATGAACCGTCTCAAAAAATGAGTCGTGACATTCTCTCCCACCCATCAATATAGACACCTTTGTAAAGTAAAAAAAAAAAGAAACAATGATGATTGGTTAAAATAAGTTTACTTTTTTTTTGGTTATTTAAAAACAATTTCCGATATAGAAAAAATATCTCCAACTTGGGTGTCTCTAGTAGATCTATTGTCTAAATAATAATCATTAAACATAATACAATTTAGTCATTATACAAAACTATTTGTTGTCTAGTCAAATGCAAAATCTAATATTAGTTTAGTTTATAAAACATATCATATCCCTTATAAATATTCATATTTTCCATGAGCAAGTTAGAATAATTTATTTCTTCATTAACATAAGCAAGAGTTTGACTGGATTCCACGGTGCAAGACCATTTTTAGCTATTTTTTATATCCATTTTTTAGTATTTTTATTTAACATATATTTTGCTTTTGTGAGTATTATGTATTTTAAAAAGTTTGAATTCAAAAAGTATAAAAAGTAAATGAAATGATATAGTTAATTTCATATAAAGTAAAACATTTTTGACTTTACTTTATACTAAAATATGTATTTTACTTTAGAAATAAGTAAAAAAAAATTGACATTGTTAAATAAAACTACATTATATGGTATAATAATCTATATAGTTGGAAAAAAAATTCTATACAGTTTTCATTTGTTTCCCAAATTTACAATATGAGAAAATTGAATTCACATGATTATATAGCAATGACACCAACACAAATATTTTGGCCACGTTTATGTGGTTGAATAACTATAAAAATATATATATATATATAAATTACGTTTCACACTACACACGTTTTTTACAACGTAAATTTGGGGGAAAATAATGATATTTTTATAGATTAATTATTATCGATTAATATAATTTTATTTACGAAAGTCAACATGTTTTTCATTATTTCAATTTTTTTAAAAAATTTTGTTGTTGCTATATCCAACTATACGTTGATATTGATATGAACACCCTATTGGTTCTGTTTATTCTATCTTCGTTCCATACTATTTCTTCTGCTTTCAAAACTAAGATAATAAATATCCAAACTAAACCTACATTAATTTCCATATTCTTTATAGAGCTAAAAAAGATGAGACCCAAATGATAACTGCATTGGACAAAGACAAAACAATCATCTATGAGGAAAACAAAAAAACAGACACGCGAACTTGATCAAAGAAGCAATATCCTAAAAAGGTACAAAATCAGTTCATAGCAATCATCTCATCAACAAAAGTAGCTCCATCAATTTGTGAGCTTTACTAGGGACCTAACTACCAGATGAAACTATATCAAACTCGAATTCAAATTTACTTTCCTCATGAATCCATAGATTCAAAAACACTTCCTTTGTTTAATAAATATCAAATATTTATTATTCTTCATGATTACGAATACCAAATAAACCGAATAAAGCTAAACAAAAGCCAAAATAAGAATCGAGGGAGAAGCAAAGAAGATAAAAATATGAAACCGAGGAAGAAGACAACTAGAAGAAAAACTCTAGAGCCTCGCGGCGTGGCTGCAGCGATTGGGAGCTTCAGGTTCAGAGAACGAGGAGAAACTGACCTGATCCGAATAAAAACAGAGCTAGATTACTATAAGCGGCGACTAAGCCGAAAAGTTATATAGAAGCATAGAAAAAACACACTTCATTTAGCAAATAAGTGAACAAGTTTTAAGTGAGAAAAGTATGCTTACTACAAAAACTTGAAGCAGTCATGATTCTTTGGAAAGCAAAAAGATCGCATCATTTGCGTTGCTGAGTGCATGGTATCTGGCATTTATATCCGCCACTACGTTTTCAAAACGTTTTCTATTGCGTTCCATTTCACCATCAATCTGTTTGAGCTCCCTATTTCCATTTTGAATGCTCTTTATAATCTTCTGCTTCTGCTCCGTCAAAAAAGAGAGTTCATCCTCCATCGAGACCACCTCTGAACAAAGATCTTTGCGTGACTTTTCAGTTTCATCACAGATTTTGGTAACAGCAACCAAACGCTAATTTTCACTGCCAACTCATTCTCCTTTTCTTCAAGCTACTTTGTAACAATTTCCCGCTCTTCTTTCATTTCGAATGCTTCTCCTTGAATGATTCTAACGTCCATAGAGATTTGATCAAGTTGTTTTCGGTAGTGGATGCACTAGAAGAGAGAGTTAGCTTTAAATCCTCCAAATCAGAAATATGTGAATTCAAGAGACGGGTTTTCTCTAGGCATTCATCTTTGGTTGGCGAAGCTTGTTTCTTCTCCAAAAGATGCGTTTCTGCTATGGCTAAAGTTTGAAATCTCTCTACCAAAGCCACCTCACGTCCATCAAATGCACCCATTAATTCCATGAGATTCAGAGTAGCAGCTTCTACATCCGTGGAAGGAAGTGAAGTGTCCTGTAACAAAGTTAGAATAACATCCTTACTAAAAAACGCAGCAACAAAACTTGAGAAATCCAAGCAAGCGTGGATTCATGGATTTGGTTTTGGTGAGTGGCGACTCCTTGTCTCTTTTCTTGTCTTTTACACTTTTAGTCGCTAATTTTCAAATTGCATCGCTGATTTATCATGAATCAAAAGTTTTAGTCACCAATTACAGAGATTGATCGCAACGATTAATCACATGTACTTGCGACTGACAAACGAACAAAAACCAGTCATAGTTACAATTGCAGAACTCCTGCGACTACCAAACGAACAACCCAATATTATTGCTATATCCCATTAGAAATCACAAATTTTGAAATTCGGACCAAGTTTTAAATCTTGTTAAGAAAAAAGAATCTGCTCGATTTAGTTTAGTAAATTAATGAAACAAAGTCATGTATGAATCTCATGGCAAGTTGGCAACCATTTGATTTCTTTATAAATAAAATCAAATCTCATATGGAAAAAATAATAATATAGAAATAAATCAAATCTCATGACAACCTTTAAAACAAAACATTATTATAAGAAAATATAAAAATATAAAAAATCTCACGAGCAACACACACAAGTGACTGCGAAAGGGCAAAAGCAAAGAGAATCAAATTTGGCCTCTTCCTATATAAATAAATCAACGAAGAAGCGTCTCTCTCGTTTTGTGTGTGTCTCTCTCTCTTCGTCCCACCATTTTCACCGCTTCTCCTCCAATCACTTCTTTCTCTCTCTTCTCTCTCTTCTCTCTCAGATCTACAGATTCCACCAGATTCCTTTATTACAATGGTTGGAGCTTTCGAATCTGATCAATCCCTAACAATGGCTAACTTAATCGAAAAAATCCACATCTTATCTGACGACTTCGATCCAACCGCTGTAGTCACCGAACCGTTACCTTCTCCGGTAACAAACGGAATCGGAGAAGTCAACGATGAAGAGAAGAATCTGATGATGAAGAAGACGGAGCTTAACGGAGGAGGAGGAGGAGAAAGAGAAATGGTTCTCGGTAGGAATATACACACGACGTCACTTGCTGTTACGGAACCTGAGGTTAACGATGAATTCACCGGAGATAAAGAAGCTTATATGGCTAGTGTTCTTGCTCGTTACCGGAAAACTTTGGTTGAACGAACCAAATTTCATTTAGGTAAATCTATCGTTTTGATTTGATTTGATTTGATTTTTTTTTTTGAATCTTTGAATTGGAATCGGAATCGGAATCTGGTGGTGTAGGTTATCCTTATAATTTGGATTTCGACTATGGTGCGCTTGGTCAGTTACAACATTTTTCGATTAATAATCTTGGAGATCCGTTTATTGAGAGTAACTATGGTGTACACTCAAGGCCTTTTGAAGTTGGTGTGTTGGATTGGTTTGCTCGTCTTTGGGAGATTGAGAGAGATGATTATTGGGGTTACATTACCAATTGTGGTACTGAAGGCAACCTTCATGGCATTTTAGTCGGGTACGTTTTCGATTATCGATCTTTGATTCATTTGAAACCGAAAAAAACGGTGTTTGATTTGATGCTTGTTTGTAGGAGGGAGATGTTTCCGGATGGGATCTTGTATGCGTCGCGGGAATCGCATTACTCTGTGTTTAAAGCTGCTCGTATGTATCGAATGGAGTGTGAGAAGGTTGATACGCTTATCTCGGGGGAGATTGATTGTGATGATTTTAGGAAGAAACTGTTGGCTAATAAAGATAAACCGGCGATTCTTAATGTTAACATAGGTTGTTGGTGTATCTTTTTATTAGTTTGGTTTTGTTGTATTGGGATTTTTTGCTGATGGTTGAATCTTGTTTCTGTAGGAACGACGGTTAAAGGAGCTGTTGATGATCTTGACCTTGTAATCAAAACTCTTGAAGAGTGTGGTTTCTCGCATGACAGGTTTTATATTCACTGTGATGGAGCTTTGTTTGGACTTATGATGCCTTTTGTCAAACGTGTAAGTGTACAGTCTTAGTCGAAGCATTTTGATAGCCTTTATTGTGCTCTGAGGCTCTGAGCTGTGTTTTCTCTCCTATCTGCAGGCACCAAAAGTCACTTTCAATAAACCGATAGGGAGTGTGAGTGTATCAGGCCACAAATTTGTTGGGTGTCCAATGCCTTGTGGTGTTCAGATAACAAGAATGGAACACATCAAAGTCCTCTCCAATAATGTTGAGTACCTCGCTTCGAGGGATGCAACAATTATGGGAAGTCGTAATGGGCATGCCCCTTTGTTCCTCTGGTACACCTTAAACAGGAAAGGGTACAAAGGATTCCAGAAAGAAGTTCAGAAATGCCTGAGAAACGCGCATTACCTCAAAGACCGACTCCGTGAAGCTGGGATCAGCGCCATGCTCAATGAGCTTAGCAGCACCGTGGTCTTTGAACGCCCCAAAGATGAAGAATTTGTTAGAAGGTGGCAGCTCGCTTGCCAAGGCGATATTGCTCATGTGGTGGTTATGCCAAGTGTTACAATCGAGAAGCTCGATAATTTCCTGAAAGACCTTGTCAAACACAGATCGGTCTGGTATGAGGACGGATCTCAGCCTCCATGCCTTGCATCGGAGGTAGGAACCAACAACTGCATCTGTCCAGCTCACAAGTGACGGCACCATTTTCATATGTTGGCATTGTTGTTTTCTCGTAAACCACATCTAGTTTAAATTTGTCACCACTGTAATCCTGAATTTGGTTTTGATCATCGTAAAATTTTGTCAGTCTCTTATTTCAAGTTATGGATTCGAACAATGTTCACAAAAGCATCAAGTGTTGCTAATGGAACGTTTACCAGTTGTAATATTTCTCGGGTTAGTAAAAAACGTTTGTAGCTCAACTAGAGCATGATCAACCTACTCTTCGCCCCCCAATCCATTCGCAATCTTTTACCCGGAATTTTAGCATTATCGCAACTTCAGATACATGCCTAACGCTGCTGAATTAGCTGCGTTTTAGATGATTGGTGCTAAATGCCTAGGCAGCCTAGCAAAAGTGTTTACTATAAAGATTTCTGGATATATTACAGTAGATACTACTCGTGATGATATTGCCATGACATATGTGCATAGACGTACAATCAAGCTAACACAAAAGCATTAATACATGCATACATACATACTTACATACATCAAATATGCAGCCCGAAATGAATATAACGTATTTATAACTCATCCAACATTTAGAGGTGACACGAACTCAGCCTCTCTTGGTGAAATCCATGTAGCTTGGGAGTGATGGCTGCCCGTTTGTGCTCATCTGCTGGTTCTTGTTGTTCCCAAACTGATTCATTGCCGATTGCTGAGATGAGAATTGAGCACGGTTGTATGAATTTCCATTCCCCTGAGGAATTTCTCCAGCGGCCATCTTAAGTCGGTTCAGTTCATCCCGCAGCGCTTCATTCAAAGCTGAAAATTACACCGAACAATATATGTCGTAATGGGGACTTAAATATTTCAAACCAAAGTTTACATATTCAGAACGACGCAATGAAAGAAAATGGCTTACCATCCCTAAGTTCAGCTTGTTGCTCTAAAGCTTGAAGCCGCATTTTGAGGTGTTTATTTTCAGTGTTCAGCTCTGATGTTCCTCTCTACACCATAAAAGAAAAAGCACAGATTAGAGATGCAAAATACCTAAAAACCCGAAATCTGCTATCAGGACATGAATCATTTAATCTTACTCCTATGTTGCTTCTATCACTAAAGTACAAACAAAACTTACACTCTTGCAAGTGTTTACATTGCACTATTGACATACCTCACATGTTGATTGATGGCTAAATTAGTATGACAACAACATATCTTATAACACTGCATCTATACTTGTTCCTAATAACAAACACATGTCCTCTCTAAATACCAAGAAGCAATCATAAACACACTAAGCATCAATTACAAATCATACTAAAGATTTACCTGCAACATAGTGACTTGAGCAGACAATGTAGTTGCTTCATTCTGAAGTGTCTGAACCTTCCTCTCCAACTCACCAGTATACCTAATCTTCCTCTCTTTCGACCTCGCCGCAGATTGTCTATTCGCTAAAATCCTATCAAAAAACCATCACAAAACACAAACTTCAACCTCAGAAAATCCAAAAAAAGATACAAAATTTGAGAAAACAACCCTAATTTTATACCTTTTAGCTCTTTTAGGATCAAGCAAAGCAAGCTCAGCAAGTCTATCACCACCCATACCCATATTTTTCTTCCCACTATCTTTACCACTCACAGAAGCTAAAATCGATTCGATATTAAACGACGCCGAACTCATCTCTCCATCCATAGAATTACTCCTGTTATGATGATGATTCCCTTTCTTCTTCTCTCCTGAACTCGTAGCTAAAGATTTCCCAACATATTGTTCCTCAGTAACTCCTAAATCATCAAAGAAATCGGAATCAACGGAGAAGCTACGAACATGGCGACCGAATCGAGCTTCGGGTTTCGGAGGAAGAGGGTTAGGAGGAACAACACCGTTGGATGAAGTTTCTTCAGAAGGTGAATCAACGGACATCGGAGAAGCTTGTGGTTGTTGTTGTTGTGGTGGTGGAGCGTTGAGGAAGTCTAGGGAAGAGAAATCGATATCGGAAGGATCGAATAGGAGGAGATCGTCGATTGATTCGCCGGAGAAGAAGGTTTCGGAGCGAGCTCGACGGTGATGAGAGATACGTTGACGTGGAGCTTCAGGCATATGTTCTATTTCACTGAGGATCGTTTGATTTGGTCTTCCTCCTCCTTCCATTGATTTTTTTTTCCGGCGGCGAGGTTTTCACAAACCTACCGAGAGATTTCACAGAAATGTGAAAAGTACAGAAGAAATTTTGTCGAGAGGGCAGGTAAGTACTAAGTAGGGACCAAAGTGATGTCTTTGGTCTGAAAAACGAAAACCTATATTCTCGAAAGTTACCAACTTATTATTTTTTTAAAATATATATAAATAAAAAGTAATAATCTTATCCGGTAAAGTTGGCCGGTATCCGGTAGAAATCTGGTTTCCGGATATCGGTTTTAAAATCGTGATATTAGAGGATGTTTGGAGTTAGATTCAGATCCGTTTTTTGTAAACTAAAATAAATAAAATCATTTTTATGTAAAAATTAACAATATATACGTAAAGATTCGATTCCAAATATACTATTTTTCAAATCGTATTCGAGCAAATTTTGGATAGGATATACTGTATGATTTTAGTTTATTTTAGATATTTTTCGAATTGTATTGGAGCAGAACATTTCATATAGGTTAATCTGCGATCTAAACACTTTTCTGGTTTGGATTTAGTGCAAATATCCGGTAGTTTTAAAACTAAAAAACTTAAAAAAATCTAAAAAACTAAAACTTATAAAATTTGTTTTTGATCCATAATCGGGTGAACCGGTCGACAATACTCCATTTAATTTTAGAAATAAAATATAAATTTAGTGTATTTGAGAACTTTTTCAATTTTTCAATTTTAGACATAAGAGTCAACGCACATTTCTCAAGAAGGTGGATATATCGTAGAAGTGTTTATGTGTATATAACCAATCCATTAAAAGAGGTTGACCAAACACAATAATACTATCTACTATAAAATATTCTAAACAATAAAAACTCAATATATAAATGTTGAATAACAAAAGTAACATACATTATTCAAATTAAAATTTATATGTAATTATTTACTTATTGGGATGGAACCATAGTTTCTTAGCCATTTCAAGACCTTAGGCCAAAATCAGAATATGAAGATCAATGTTATATTGAAAGCAAATTTTTATCCAACAATTGAAATATTCATTTGTCTCAATAATGTTCAATAATAGATAACAAAAATTCTACATCAATACACAACATGAAAAAAACGGACAACGCAAAGAAAGTTCAGACGCGCGTCTTAACCGCCAAATCAAATCAGCAGTTTCCCGTTTTTTTTGCTTTAGAATCCAATGAGCCAGAATAAACGCTCAAGCTTTCTCATAATACAACATTCTTCAGACAATACTTGGAGGATCTCCAGACCAGCTACAAGCGGCACGCGACCACCGAGTTCTGATACAATCCACCAATGGTGCATGCTGTACCGGTTTAGGCTGATTCACTTCTGAGTCTTTCTCAGAGCTGCTCGGCGGCAGTGCACATGACATGTACTCTTCTGGTGTCCATTTAGGAGGAACAGCGACGTTTAGTTTTGTCAGCCTTGGCCTTTGCACAGGAACCATCCCACCTTCCACAGCCATTGCTTGACCACCACCGTTTATATCGGATTTGGCAATCCCGTTGAAGTGATAAATATCAAACACTTTCTTTCCCATCATTCCTGTTGAATCCTTTATCCCTCCCAAATTTCGGTCTAGTTCCAAGATCACTTGCCATAACTCGCTCCACACGATGAAACCCGTGGCGCAGATATCGTTGAGCTTCTCTGTTGGGAGTCTGATGTTTGTTTCCTGAACAACTTGGTGAAAGGCCTCCACGCTGATGAAGCCTCCTCCTCCGCTTTCGTCTCTTGCATCGAAAGCTCTTCTTATCTCAGACTCTCTCAGCTCAAGTACGTTTTCTTCTTGGACGGATGGGTCGAGTGCAAACAGGACGGTGTAATGAGACTCGCTGCCAATAACCCATATTGGCCATTTGGGACACTTGAGATTCTGACCGACTTTGCAGAAATTGAGAGACTCGAGCAACGTGAGGAAGCCCACATCCACATTCTTAGATATGCCTTTTAGAAACATGCCGCCTCCAAGATCCATCCTTCCATCAAACACATTAGGAACCGCTTCTCCACACAACAGCAGGTTTACAATTTCCTAATAAATGAAGGAGCATAGAGAAAAATCAGCAGAATTCAAAGAAAACGGGATAGAAGTAGAAGAAACAATTAATCAGTCTAGATTTTGAAATGTGTTTGTTCTATTACCTGGGAGGCATGTCCAAATGGTGCAGTGACTAGGGGGAGGTTTGGATCATCCCTGTCGGCTTGAACGGAATCCTGTTCATCACAAAATTATTCATTAACGCTACAACACTAGGAATTCAATAACCATGGATATTTGTCACTATTTTCGGCAGTAATAGATACGTAAAAACCAAGGAGAGATCCATCGAGCTGACCAAGAGAATTGAAATGAATAATCTATATACGAAATCAACCACAATGATTCTGTTAAGATCAGGAAACAAAATCTTGCTTTATTGCTTACTTAATCGTAGAACAGAGACAATCAAAGAAATATCTAGAAACCTAAACCAAATACATAGTTGACCTAGGGTGAATTCTAGGGCCCAAGGATCTCAAGGCCCCAAAGCAGTCACCAATTACTCAATAGCTAAGCATTTTTCTGAATCAAAGGATCCCACACAACCACATGACCAAATCAAAGGATTCAAATTCGTTCCATCCCCTAATCTATTATTAGCACACATGTTAACAAACAAAAGAGTAATAAGGATCAAGGATGAGTCGATATACCAGTCCACGGGAGAGTAAAGCAGAAATTAGGAACAGCAAAGCACCCATGCGACTTTGGAAAGCAGTTATTGTGCCTTCTAGCTTATTTAGGGCACTGGATTGAGTTGTGAATGTCTCGAACCTTAAGATCTTCTGCAAATCTGAAGCAGATTCAATGGGGAGCCCACCAGCCATTGCCTGCAACAATATATTAGAACGAATCTGATAAGGACACAACATAAATAGTACAGCAAAACACGAATCTGATAAGGACACAACATAAATAGTACAGCAAAACCAACACTGCACCAAATATGAAGACCTGCTCAAGTTCGACTAACCTCATCTTTCTGATTAGTACTGGAATCCTCAAAATTAGTGAAACTTGCTATTACAGCGCGGTTGTTGTTTCCACACATAAATAGAATCTCACACATGCTTCTAACAAGGGCCCTGCAAAATCCGGGACAAACAACGACATATGCTGAGTACTAAACATGATAACTGAATTTCGGATGTGAATCATAGTCTAACTAATCTTCTAAGAAAAATCACCTTGTTTTTGCTTCTTCGGTTACAGAAGAGAAGGAGTCAGATACAACATGACGATCTTTAGATAATGTCCAGACACCCATACTTGGGGAAGCTACTCTGTCACCCGGAAAGTAAAGAAGGTATTTAAGAACAAATGCCTACACAGAAAAAGGAACAGTCAGCATCAACTGTAAGAATGTTCCAGAGAACAGATCACAACAAGAAAATTAAGAGAATTACTTGTAGTGCTGCTAAAACACCGCAGGGCCCACCTTCATGCTGCACTAATCCTATAGTAGTTTCAGGATCAGGGCTAAACCTATAAATAAGTAGTCAAAACATTAGTTACATAATACATAGTGGGCACAGAAAGTAACTACGAATTACGATTAAATTACTGAAAAACGCGACATACAAATATTTTCATTACTACATATACACATTTTGGAGAAATTAACTGAGCATCTAGGATACACATGGAAACTTTCAATTCCAGCTCTTAAAATTAAAAAAAGAACCTTATTTCTTACAGAAATAAGTTACCCCTATGACATGTCTGACACGAACAAACTATGGTCCACTTTTATATCAATATACCTACGAGAAAACAAAAGTCTGGAATAACAAACATTTCGGGAGACTATGCATATCTGATTTCTGAATTTAGAGATGAAGAAGATAACCTCACAAGCACTGTACTCATGCATTAAAGTGTGTTAACAGTTATAGCCATCAAATTCAATTGCCTTTCACCGCAGCGTATTCTCAAGAAAAGGTGAATTTGATTCTGATAGATATGCAGCAATTATTTGCTGGATATTAACTGACATATGACTGATTTGGTATCTATACTTTCAAAAAAATTAGGGATAATGGTTTTGTTTTCTACTAACTGCAAGAAGCTTTCCGTGTGGGGAAATTTCCTTTGCTTTCTCTACCTGTTTCTATCAAAGTATTTATATATTTCCTCGTTGGCTCCCCTATCAATTGGTCTAACTTACAGGAAGTTAACCGATCCCCAACAAGCAACGAGGGGATGGAGAGAAGCTAAAAATAGAGAAGGCTAGATTGAGAAAAGACCCCGTGTGGAGAGCCTAAAGAGAATGCAAGCCGACTGAATATCAGCACCGTGTAGGTCACTGTCTAAAGGGCGCTGTATTAATAAGGAAGTTGATATTGATACGAATCCCAAATCGGATAGCGGATAACAATACTAATGCCTTAATTGGCCAAAAGATACCTCCACTCTTAATCTACCTTTAGTGTTGAGAAGAATCCCATATCGGATAGCGGATAATAAAACTAATGCCTTAAAAGGCCATAAGATACCCTCACTCTTAATCCTAGCTTTGGAGTTGAGAAGAATCCCATATCGGATAGCGGATAATACAACTAATGCCTTAAAAGGCCATAAGATACCCTCACTCTTAACCTAGCTTCTGTATTAACTACCACTCGGAGGATTTTTAACGGCTTTGTAACGAATCCAACTAATATTCGCGCCAACTAGTCATTAACAATATCACCTCCCAGCGGGTTTTTAACGACTTTGTACCGATCCAACTCATATTCGCGCCCACTAGTCATTAGCAATATCACCACAACTAACTATGACAAATCTTTTGTCCTCAATTCTCAGCTACATATTCACAACCAACACCATAGCTTCTCTCCTAGATAAAGAGAGATACTTCTCAAACTCTAGAAACTATATACGATCAAATTCAAACCCTAGCTACTATATGAATACACTAAGTCATTGATTAAAAGCACACAAATTCAAGAACAACAACACAAATCCAAATTCAAGAATCGTACCTTATGCCCTGATTAGTCCATTGAGCAAGTACACTTTTCGAAACCTCATTCCCAAACACCATTGAAAACAACTGATCAGACTCTTCCACCGATAACTCCTTCCCCAAATCAGACTCCACACTCTTCACAACAACTTCATCATCCTTATCACCAACAACCCTAATTGGCAAAACCCTAGCTTTGTTCACCGGAGAAGGACTCGTAGGAAACAAAACCATACGTTTCTCAGCAGCAGCAGCCATAAGCTCTCGCTGCAACCGCCGAGATTTCGCCTCCGGTGATTCACCACCAGATTGAGATCCGGATCCAGTTTCTTCTTCAATGGGTTTGCTCCGTTTTGGCTCAGGAGGATTGTATTGCATACTCATCTTAAGAGCCAATTTCAAATCTTCGTCTTCTTGATGATCCGCCATTGAAACAACCCACAAAAGATAGAGATTTGCCCGGATCCAAAGATCGGAACTTTGAACACTTCCGTTACGATTTGGTAATAAAAAACACAAATTTTTGTTGTTGTCTCCGCAAGATCATATATAGGGATCAGATTAGCTTTGCCCAAATCATGAAGAAACTCAATTCGAATCTTTTCTCTGATAATCAATCAATAAATTATAAAGTTTCCTAATCTCATAAGAGATAAAGTTTTCCAATTTGGTTTGGGCATCGATAAGGAAGGAAGACAAGGGATTGGATTTTGGGGTTCTCTTTGGATTTGAACGATTTAGGGCAAAAAAAACTCGACAAGGAAAAAAATATTTCCATATTTTAATAAGTTTGTTTATACAGTGAGTGACTATTTATTTTAATGAATTTGGTTTGGTCCGAAGTAAATTTTGTAATTTATCTCTTTCGTTTTAGCCATAATTATCGAGAATTTAGCTATAACCCTTGTTTGAAAAATTGCTAGGCGCTAGTCGGGCGCTAGGTATGAGCCTAGCGATTAATCGGAAAATCGGATTAAAATCGGGGATTAATCGAGGATTAGTTTTAGGATTATTTTAATATTTTTAAAACATATTAATCAAATATTGTTTCAAAATTGCAGTAAACACATAAAACTATATTTTTGAGATAAATTTTTATGATTTTAATTACAAATTTATGATTTTTATTAAAATTTGAACATAAGTTATTGTAAAACATCACAAACTCCCAATTTAAATGATTGAATAACAAAAATAAAAAGTTGTTTATACTTGCAATCTAAAAATAATAAAGATATGTAAAATTAGGCGGGGAGTAATCGGATTAGGCCGGAAGTAATCGGATTAGGCGGAGAGTAATCGGGTAACTGATTTTTTTAGGGGATTAGTCATTAATCGAGGCGGATAGGGTGGGCCTAGCGATTAAGCGGGGAGTAATCGGGCCTAGGCGGGGATTTTTAGAACAGGGGCTATAACTAGGTGAATACTCAGGCTACGCGTGGATTGTTGTTTTGAAAATTGTTTAAAATAAAGTATACTTTTCTTTTTTGCTAATTTATGTAGTTATAATTTTTATGCTTAGATTTATTTTTGACTCGAAATATCAATTATAATTTTTCATATATAAATCTAAAGAAAAACTACAACAATTACCACTTTTTCTCAATTTCTTTCAAAATCTACCACATTCATAACTTCCTTTCAACTCCTACCACATTTAGTATTTGAATTACTAATTTGTCCTCCCTATTTATCTTCCCAATTTATCTCTCCTTCCTATTTATCTCTCCTCCCTATTTATCTCTCATCCTTATTTATCTTTCCTACAACATTAGCTTCCCTATTTATCTCTCTATCCCTCGAAACACGTGCACTTTAACCAAGAAACATTATATCTCTTGAGACTCAACAATTAACTTTCGTTTTTGTCTCCAGATCTTGTCCCCGATTGGAAATTCTCTATTGCGTCTAGATCTTGTCCCCGATTTCATCATCTTTCTATTATCATGAATCCCACATCTTGTCCACCAATAGTTCTCATTTAATGGTTTCGAATTTTATTTAGATTTTTCACCTTCTATTCTGGTCCACAGATTAGTTGAGCATTATTGTCTTCACCTACCCGGATTATTGAATTTTTTTTCCTTCTATTGCAAAATAACAAAATGATCCAGTTGTCCCCGAGTACTATTACTCATTCTATTACTCATTCGATATGAACTTGTCCCCGATCGAATTCTATTACTCATTCGATCTGAATTTGTCTCCGATCTAATTCTATTACTCATTCGATATGAACTTGTCTCCGATCTAATTCTATTACTCATTCGATCTAAACTTATCCCCGATCTAATTCTATTACCCATTCGATCTGAACTTGTCCTCGATCTAATTCTATTACCCATTCTATCTGAATTTGTCCCCGATCTAATTATATTACTCATTCGATCTGAACTTGTCCCCATATAACATATTATTTAAATAAAATTATATGCAATTGTAAATGTGCAACATTTATTGCAACTTGTCCCTTTATCTGACACAGCAGTCTGTCCCTTTATCTGACACACCAGTCTGTCACCATCAAGGGCAATTTCGTCTACAATTTGCATGTGGCAATGAAATGTGGTAGATTTTGAAAACTCTTTCTAATTGTGGTAGATTTTGAAAATCACTTTTCAAAAAGTGGTACATTTTGCAAGATTCCCTAAATCTAATTATCTATATACCTAATATTCTAATTTTTTGTATTATTATATAGTTTGAAACTGGTCTAACTTGATTATAAACAAACAATTCCTTGTTCTTTGTACCCACTCGTGATCTATTACTCCAACCACGCACATCATAATAGACTCATGATTAGATACTATTTAATTGACATCATTTGAACAACATATGTAAAACTAACTATTCATTTGCTCCAAGAGTTTTCATATGAAAAGAGAAAAGAAAGCAAATATTTGTCGAGTAATTTAAGTCAACATTTTTAGATCTCTCTCCTTGTATTTGCATATATCTGAGAGAATTTTCGTGTCTTGAATTGTTTGGTATGTCTAACCTCTCAAAAGTCTATTACTTGAAAAAACGTGCGTGTCATTGTCAATGTTACCAACTTACCAAAAGATCCAAAAATGAAAATAAAGAAAAAAAGATCATATGATCGTATATGAACCACAAAACATAATAATAAGAAAAGTTTCAAGGTAAAATACTAACTAAGAAGAGGTGAGGTACCAACATTTAAAATGTAAAATTTGTCATTATCGAATAATGACCATTGATAAAAAAAAATTAGTAAAATAAGAAGCGTATAATAAAAATAGTTGTTGAAACATTAGCAAGAATTTTTACTTTTTTTTTTTTATTTTATCTGAAGAAATCAATTAAAAGTGGTATTGATTAATACAATTGAGGACTTTTGATTTTTTTTCACTTAAAAAAAAAAATTATTTAATTAATGCAAAGTTACACATGTCATTTTCTTATGTGATGATGTGGCACTCATATGGAGAGAGTTGGCCAACTTTTATATATACTAGATGAATACCCACGCTACGCGTGGGTTTGTTTTAAAAGTTGTTAATAACAAATTATTTTGATTGTTCTTGTTGCTAGTTAATCACCCGCTTTATGCCGCGGTTTTTTCCGGTTTTTTTCTATTTTGATTTATTTGATAGTTATATTTTGATAAATGTAATTTTTAATTATCTAATCATTTACTCATACAATGAACAACTACTCTTAGTATTAAAATACATTTTCAACCAACATACTCAACAATGCATCACTCACACAATCCGTAAACAATCTTTCCTAAACCAATTTTATAGATAGTAATGTTGGGATTATATATAGAACCTCCAAAATTTGATGACCTTACGTATTCTTCACCCTCAGTGTCATATATAGATAAAAGAAATTAAGAGAAAAACTTATTCAAACCATTAGCTAATCCACTATACTATTATCCACTCATATTTTGAGTTAAGATTACAAAAATTAGGGTAAAAAACTTTGGAGTATATAAAACCAATAAAATAATTTTATGGGAAAAAACATAAAATAACAAAATAAGTTAGTATTAGTAAAAATCAATATGTAAAATTAAATAATATATATAATTAACTAAGAAATATATTATTAACTTGTGAAATAGATTTTTAAATTCATATGGGTCATCCCTCATGGACTATTGTGTTTTCTCCATTTGACATTTATAATTAGAAGCTGATGTGTAAAAAATAAAAGATGACTCATATTAATGAAATGTTTTGATTGGATGGAAAGAAAGTTGATGTGGCATCTCCAGAAGAGTCTAAAATGCTGACGTGGCGACCATATGGAGAGAGATAGCCTCCTTTCATATATATGATGATATGATTATCACTTTTCGCCGATTCTTTTTCATTTCTACCATATTTCAAAACTCTTTTTCATTTATACCATATTGTTATGGTATTGTAGTATTTCTTGGATAATTTTACACCTGGTGACATCGCAGTGTTATGTTAGAATAAAGGTGTGATGGAGAGAAAAAGTGAAGCAGATGCATTAATTGCACTCGGAAACAATTTTTATTACATGCAGAGACAAATTTTGTTATATTCAGACCATTTTTTCCTCAAGACTAGTAAAATAAAAACAATTTAAAACGAGATCTAGTCATAGACATGGACCTAAACGCACATTTAGATAATAGTTTCAAAAGAAAGAAAAACAAAAACTAGGGACAACAAGAATCGAAAGAGATAAACAATAATTTTTAGAAAATTAAAGGACTAAATCGGAGGATAAATAAGTAGAAACAAAAAAATCAAGAGGATTACAATTGCCGGAAACGACTTAGATTCGATTTGATGAATAATAGACAAGACTGGATCTTGCGACCTAGATATTGCCGAAGACGACCGAGAGGATTACAATCGCCGGAGACGATTTAGATTTGATTTGATGATGATTTTATTTTTGAAATCAGATCTAGATTTTGTAGGAAAAAACACATACGAGAAAAAGTTGAATGAAACTCATTGTTCGTGATTGAAAGAGAAAGAAAGAGAGAAGTAAAGAAAAAGAGAAAAAAAAAAAGAAAAAAAAATTAATTTTAAATATAGAGAGATAAATGTGAGGATAAATTAGTCTTTTATATGTTAAATGTGATAGATTTGGAAAGAATAGGAGAAAAGTGGTAGATTTGATAAGAATTAGAGAAAAATGTGGTACTTTTGATAGATTTTCCTTTTTTTTATCTCTCGTAATTCTAATGTTCATGCATATTGTTTAGTCCAGTTTAAAAAACTGAATTTACTAAGAAAATTTTGTAAATTTTTTCATTTTTACAAAAACAATAGAAGATTTTCAATTAATATTAATGGTTTTTAAGAGAAAAATTGAATCGAAACAAAATAATCCAATCAATATTTAGTTTTTAATGATAGAATCCAATCGAATTTTTTTTTTCGTCAAACGAAGTAACAGTCGAATTTGGCTATATTTTTTTGTATAAATTGATGGAGAAAAGAAGAATAACAGTTTTGAGTTTCATATGCGTTGGCACATCATACCAAAAATAATTTAAGAAT